GCAAGGGCCTCTTCCTCGGCCTACTCGTTCTTGTGGCCGGCATAATCGTCCTCATCCTGTTTTTTGTGCTCAGCAATGAGAACATGGAGATCGAAACGCTGTCCGCAGTTACCACTCTCCACTGCACCGTCCAGGGTCTTTCGGCTATGGCAACGGCCATCGGGTTGTGCACCGTCGGCGGCGCCTACCACAAGCGCGGCCGGACGACCCAGCTCAACTCGATCCTTCAGGGCATCGGACTCCTGGCCCTCTACACGTACGGCGTGTTTGGTATCGTAGCTGGCGCGTCGAAAATCTTCGAAGGGTCCGACCACCTCCTCCTCCTCATGGACGGCGCCTTCATGGTTCTGTTTGCGAGCCTGCAGTCACTGTTTGTCCAGCGGCTTGCCATGCGTTGCCTGCCCAAGAAGAACAACAAGTCCGGCCTGCAAGTCGTCACGTTCCTCATGTTTAGTAACCTGGTGCTCTGGCTACTGGAGACGTTCACAAACCAGAATCACATATCAAGTCAGCAGCAGCTGGCCATGTACGGGGCCGTGTCGTGGGGAATAATTTCAAGGGTAGCCTTGCCACTTGTCATCTTCTATAGGTTCCACTCGTGCGTCTTTCTCCTGGAGGCGTGGCAGCTTCCCATCACCCTGAGCAGAGAGTGACCCGCTTCGACTGAGACAACTCTGACGGACTTATGTGTTCCTTTAACCGTGCGTTCGCAAAACTGGCTCGATCATAGGGCTCTATGAGTGACATTAAGCGGTTGCCCCAGGAACAGTTTTTTGAGTGAGACAGTGAGTTTGCCACTACCCAGATCAACCTGTATCAGTGACTCAGCAGAAACTACCTTGTCATCTGCGCGTTTCATTGATATGTAATGTCCAAACGTTCAAAGACATGCGAAACTATTGCTTTCTGGCCTTAGTTCAGTATACGAAATGCGGCAGATTCGAAAGTTAAAACCCACATGCTGTAAGAGCAAGAATGGCCATCTTTTGCTGCTAAAATTCCCCACATCGACATTCATAATAGCAATGTTATTGTTGATTGTTTTTGTACGTGATAGTTGCTGTGATGAAATGTGTGAGCGTGGTCATGAGAATTGAGCCTTAAAGGGACCTTACAATACCATTTCAACATCAACAATGCTGCCCATCTATGTAAAGTCAGTCAAGATGAACACGTGAGCCAAACAATGTTGCGCTGCACAACAACAGGAAATTTACAATTTCATGTCAAAGACAGTTGAAAATCAGTTGCTCTTTCCTCAACAATGTACGTATAACAGGTGGGAGCAAGCGGAGGCGACGAGTACTGTAGCTATCTTGCAGACCACGTGCTGCGTCGTATAAATAGCGTGGCCGGCGTACGCCGCGCACGTCTGCAGAAGTATTCGAGGCCATAACGTGCAGGTCACGAAATGGGCCGTAAAAAAAGTCCCTTGCCACATCCCCCCCCCCCACATTACCCCGTCTAACTGTGTATGTACTTCCAGCACGGTAGTGCCGACGAAAGCGACATAGCAGGTCATTCTTGATGCAAGAGGGCCCTATAGTAAGGCCATTCTACTATAATTTGGAAAGGTGTCGCAGGGCCCCTTTAAGTAAGCCAGTACACAGCTGGTCTTATACGTGATTTATTGCATTGCGAAGGCAATGAAAATGAAAAAAAAATTGTTGTTTGGTACCTTTAATTTCAGATGTTGAAGGAGAACAAGGGTCATGTGTCAGTTGTGCGTATATGGCTAGTGAATGCCACCACGAGATGCCTGTTGCTGCGTCTGTTGTAAAGCATCTATAGACACATCATTGCAAGATTATGCGCATCGCTTTATGAGCTTCTTCATTTGTGCATTGTCATCACAATGTTCATCGGTATTAAGTATCACCAAAAATGATGTGAAGGAAATTATCACATTTTGCTTTCGACCACTGCCACACCATTCATCCTTACAAGCAGAGCTTACAAATCAGCTTTTCAGTGTGTGAACTTCCCACAGACAGCGCACTGTATGCCATCTTTACGTAGTGCACCCAACTACATATGTACAGATGGCTTGCATTGACGTCACTGAAACCACCGCACCAGCATGACGGGACGTGACATTTGCGATGTCACATTAATGTTTTCAAAACATCACATAGCAGGTTTATTCACTATTTGCGCACAGAGGCGTTCTCATGTTGTGATCACATTACAGCAGGTCAACTGCAACTTACTGGTCATGAAAGCCGCCATCTTGGAGTGCCAGTACGTTCAGAAGCAGCGCTTAGATATCACGAGCGAGCTATGGCACTGTTCAGGTAAATATTGTATAGGATAGCAACTAATAAGCATAGCAGTTGGACTTTCAACACGCGAGAAACTACAGTCAGATCATCAAGGTACGCTGCATTCAATGGCGTTAGCCGACCCCCTATCTACATTAAAACAGTAATTCCTTATCACGCGACATGAAACACTGCAAACTTGAGCCAGAAATAAATATTAAAATCTGATCAGTGCACTGTGACAGACAGTACGAATGTATGACTTCACATTTCGTTTTTGTGATTGCTTGTAGCAACCACATTAATAACAACTAAATTTCAATCTTGACGTCCCTGCGTGTCTCTATAGTTTTTTCACACCATACGCGCCCTAGTCACATTTCAAATGACCATTACACGTTCAGAAAAATTAATGTGCAACGAGGTGCTACTGTGCATGCTCAATTCCTGCAAGCTATAAAAAAAAGTGAGCCCGCATACGTAGCAAGGAAAATGGAGTGACTGCATATGACTCCTTTAAGGTAGCCGTAACCTCTAGGAAGTAACTATAGTAGCTGTAGGAACGTTGCCAGCAGCACCCTCCAGTATAGAATGCTTATTATTCAAGCTTTAAACAATCAAACTCAAACCCATGGATAAACAGATCAGCCAAAACGTACAAAAAAAAAGTCACGCTATAGTTACGCGATTGTAACTCTACTCAAATGTAGGTTGACCTCTTTAAAAGCACACACCGAAACGTACAAATACAGATCTGTCAAAACACACACACAAAAAAATCAAGCTATAATTACGCAATTGTAACTCTACTCAAATGTATAGGTTGACCTCTTTAAAATCACTCACCAAAACTAAATAAATGAAGAAATAAAGAAATAAAACAAAGCATGTTGCGTATTATAAACTTCTTTTCAAAAAAAAAAAATCCAGTGAGCAAGGGCGGCTTCACGACAGTCTTGCAGAGAAGCTAACGTTGTTGCAATACTATTACATGATTTCTTTTAGAATACTTTTCACAAATCATTGCTGAGGATGCCGCTTGAACGCGAGAAAATGGCATACGTTGCAGGTACTGTATATGTTGCAGGTAGAGAAGGAACGTAAACTTAATGTCATAACCATATGCTACAGCATGCCTGATTTATCGTTTCGGTTGTAAGTCAACCCCTCAACTTCGGATTTAAAATTTATATTAAATGGCTCGACCTACAATCGTGTAAATACAGCGCACGTTGAGGATCACCTACTCCTTAGTCAACGTCATTGCCGTCCCAATGTGGATTCCTTAAAGCGAACCTAGACTGCACACAAGCAGGACTTGCAAGGCAAGTGCATAGTCCAATCAAAACTGGATCTCCTGACCCTGCGTGGGCGGAGCCACTAGGTGAGTACATTAGATATGCAAGCCTATCTTAAGAAGTAAGTGAAGAATACTCTATGAAACCCTTCGCGCGACTCCCACGGCGAGGGCAAGTAACTTCCCTAACAGCTGCACGGTACCATACTGCACCTCGTGCGTGCTCCCTTTGAGGCGCGACTATTATATATATATATATATATATATATATATATATATATATATATATATATAGGAAGTTATTAGACAGAATTGTAATGTAAATGTGAAGAAAGAAAAGTGGGTGAAAAGATAACTTGCCGTGGGCAGGAACCGAACCTGCGACCTTCGAATAAAACGTTCGATGCTCTACCACTGAGCTACCACGGCGGCTATCCTCCTAGCCCTTTTATTGGGTATATGTGTGAATTTAAACGTGGGAGTGTCAGTAAGCGCCCTCAGTAGCCATGGCGGCGAGTGTGGCCCACCCTTTATAATCCTGTGCGGCGTCACGTAGCACGTGAACTTATTACGAGCTCGCAGCTGACTAATAGTCCCTCGTATACAATCTAAGGCACCAAGTCTGTCAGTACGAGACCCTCATTAATGAGTAAAGAAAAGAAGTGTATACTTAAGGGCTCGTTTTTCCCTGTTTCTGACACAATATTAATGAGATCTAATAGACAATAACACCAAGAAAAGTATAGGGGAAGTTATTAGACCGAATTATAATGTAAATGTGAAGAAAAATGAAGTGGGTGAAAAAACTTGCCATGGGCAGGAACCGAACCTGCAACCTTCGAATAACGCGTTCGATGCTCTACCACCGACTGACCGACCGACCGACCGGTTGCTAATGGTGAACTCTACTCCCAGTGGCATGAAGCAAAACATTGTTGCACAGTAGACAGGTTAACAATAAATAAATTTGTGTCATATTTATTGAGTAAATCTCCTCTGGATTTAAAGGCACATCAACAATGGCATGTCAAATATTAGAGCAGTATCGTAGCATATACTACTTTTTGCCCCGTTTATTTCCGGGAGGGGGCTTCTGCAGCTGGAACGTCTGGTTTGCTGAAGAGCCGAAGCTGTCGGTACCTGAAAAATCAATTTGCACAATCTCTAGTCAAAAAATGAGGTGAACACAGTTTGATGCGCAAGCTTTACAAAGAAAGATACCTCTTCATTCCAAGTATGAAAACTGCATTATATTAGCACAAGCACACTGCATAATGGGAAAAATATTGCATTGGCAAAAACATATAATATTAAAAGATAGACAAACAATTAAAAAAAGTTCACATACGACAAAACCCTCCCAACACTGAAACGCATGCACATAAGATAACTGGCTGTTATTTAGCATGAATTTACTGTCATGAAATTTCACAAACAACTAGTGCGGTGTAAATTCTGGGGTGGTACTAGGCTGTAAAGCTCTGTTCAATCTACTCAGCTGACAACACTAGAAAACTATGCATGGAGTGTGTGTCTCACAGTGCAGCTATTTTCGATACTCAATATCTAACACTAAACACTTAACCTCGATCAAATGAACATGAATATAAAGAAATATCAGTTATAACAAAGTAGTGAATGAAGAATAGCATTGCAATAGGTGAAGTGTTAGAAAAATACCTTTATAACAAATTTTGGATATAGCGAACTTATTTTTATGTAAGATAAAAGTTCGTTATAATAAGCTTTGGCTGTATTGTACATCATAACTTGTAAACTTGAGGTTACTTCCACAGAACCACGTATTATTTTGCCCACCTCTGTGCTTTCACAAGTGATAAGCTAGGTTTTGCTCACAAGTGTGAGAAGCGTGCCATGGCCACTAGTTATAAAGATGTGTCACTCCACTGCTTAGCAGTAAGAAGGTTCATAATAATCATGCCATAATCACCTACATTAAAGTGCGACACTGCACGTTGCATTGAATTACATGACACATAAGATGTTTCTTTCCGACGTAACGTGCTATTTTTTGGTGACGAATGTGAATCTTTAGCCTTTAGTATAACAATGCTTGCAATGCATTAAATCGATTATGGGCAATCATACATGATAAATGCACTTACAGTGCATCACTGAAGTATGCATACTAATGCGCTTTAGATTTACAGAGGCTACAGATCTTCAATATCCCATCAGTTATGCACATAGATTAAAAAAAGAAGTGACAGACTCATTAGGAAAGGTAGGCTACAGAAGCAACCAAAAGTCACTAAAGCTGAGGAAAGCATGAAAGAATCAGTGCTTGGCACTAAGTTGATTCTGTCAAGTTTAAGTAAAAATCAAGTTAAAAAAAGAAAAAGAGAAGCAGACCAGATTATTAAAACCATAGAGTTTCCTAATATGAACTAGAGGGGACTTTGGCGCTGCGATCGTTCAGCGAGCATGGGAATGATGGGTAGTACATGAATTTGCCTAGTCTTCATACTTGCGGGCGGCGAATCGCGCTTGCCGCTTCGTTTATTGCTGGTTTCGGTTTTGTTTCGAAGAAACGAATGAACTCTTTTGAACTGGGTGAACTGATTTGACATGGTAAGCCAGAAAGAATAAAATGGTGAAGCGCAACGGCTGAACATTTGCTGAGTTTGTTTCGCGAGAAAACAGCTCCAAGCCACAAGAACACACACAAAGCCAGAAGTACGAAGATTAGACAAATGTGTGTACTACCCATCATTTCCATGCCCGCTGCAGCGTCGTGCGTTGCAGCTCCCATAGACACTAGTGCCAGAGTTCTCTCTAATGTACATTTAGGAACCTCTATGATTAAACCTAACCATTAGTGAGGTTTAGAACAGCAACACATGGTAAAAAGCAACACACATAAAAAGAACATCGTTCACCTTTCAACTCTTTCACACATTCCATAATTTCAGAGACAGTTGACCCTTTTGACAAGTTAATGAACAAGTAGCTGAGGAGCACACATCAGGTCACAAAAGCAAGCCAAGTTAAGTGCAAGTAAGTTAGTATTTCTCTGTCAACAGGTGCCATTTGAGAAGCAAGTCACCACAGTCAACAGTTCTTCCCTTAATGCCGCAGAAATGTGCCATGCATGACGAAGTACCCGTGAGGACAGTAACAACACCAGGGCTCAAGAGGGCCCACATAAACTTCCACTTGTAGCACAAGCACTGCAAAATAAAGCAATGAAAGCCCTTATGCAAATAAGTCGAAGCTGGCCATGCACCTGTGAGGTTTCATGACTCTTTTTATACATTTAGTTACCATGTACTACACTCGTAGTATGAGGCTGAAAATTAAACTTACTTATTCGTGACAGCATTGTCTAAGAAACTAAGAAAATTTATAACATTCATTAAGTGCTGCTGTGTCCCAAACTATTAGCATGTTTAATTTGCCTTTTTTTGGTGGGAAGGAAGATGGGTCAATAGTACTAGAGGCAGTAGCCAAATTTGTCTACAGGTGACGGTGAAAAGTCTCCTTGTGTTTCTTGTACTACAATGCACCCCCTCAAAATGGCAGCAGTCCCTCAACGCACGTTCAGAAGTCAACGCACGGAGAGTCAATGCATGGTATCATGTTCATGACATCGAACATGATGCCATCTTGACCGTGCCCGACGTGCTCTGCTTCACCAAGACACGGAACGCTGGAAACATGCACATCAATGGGTTCACTCCAGCCGTCTGCACCAAAGAAGCGGAGCGTCCTGCGGGCGGTGTCGGGGTCTACGTCAAGCTACCTGATGCGGCTGAAGATCTCGCGCTGCCAATCACCAACCAGAGCCATATCGGGAAGCACGCTGCTGTGAAGGTCTCATCCGAAATAGCACTCATGCCCGTGTGCTTGGCACTGAACTTGTCAGAAGGTGACGTCACCAAGTACATCGAGGAGGCAATGCACCAATACAGGACCGAGTTCAAACACGGACCTCTCGTACTCACCAGAGATCTGAACGTTGGCATTATGCTAAGCGATCATCATCGAGAAACGCCCTTTTTGTAGTTTGCCAAAAAAGAATCTATTGTGTATATATAACAAAATTTTCATGTCTATATATGACGGCCAGAGATATGAACAGAGAATTCAAGGGTTACCCAATCATCTCTGAGCAAGCTCTCTCACATCATTCACTTTGTGGATACGGCAGTGATTTTTTGAACCTCTTACACAAAATAAGACTTTCCGAGAGTTGACAAAACTAGTCCTAGCTACTTCAGTATGAAATACAAAACTCTTCTACGATAAACAGTTAATTAACCCCAAAATGACTGATGCTGCAAATATTTTTGAATTAAAGGAATCTGGTGCAGAATAGTGAGAGGGGGGGGGGGGGAGGAGGCATCAATACTAATCTTGATTTTGACTCCTTAGCCTTTGCTAGGTTTTCATGTTTCCGCTCATGATAGGATCTCTTTGGCTGTCTGTTAGAGTTATCCACCAGTAAAAATACCCTAGAATGTGAGCAAAGTCGCGAATAGCAACTGTCAGCACAGGAGGTGTTACGAGGCATGTTAGACCGAGATTCCCTGGCACACGGTCATAAAAACATGCCGCGTTACAAGGATAGCACAAAATGAGAAAGATGTCACCTCATGCAGCGGTGGCTCTGGCGCAGACAGCCTGGCATCACACGAAGAAGAAAGTGCTAAGTCGCACAGCTAGTGAAACACGCTCTTACCGCTATTTACCTAATGGTTTAAATGGACTTGTCGCTCCAAAAAATGAGGTTCCAAGGCCGCTAGTGGTGCCAAACATTGAGCTTCCAAAACCTGCAATTGGAGAGGACAAAAGGAGAAATGTAGGGTAGGGGAATACATCGTCAAGGAAAGAAAAGTACACTCTTCTCTCCACTATTTATTTCTTATAAATGGGGCAAAAATTGCGGCCTTTTAAAATTCCCATTAGCCGAAACAGCAGTGTGGAACACTTGCCAAGAGCCCTGTTGCACTAATAACACTTATGTTCCTCCCTTCACTATCAAATGAGTTCATTTAAGATTGCATTCAAGATACATTCATCTACATTGCCCAATTTCAAGACAGATGTTGCAACGTTCCAAATACAGTACTAACTCAGTAATAAAGGAGAAAACTTACAGTAGACCGAAAAAGAAAATACGATAGTCGAAGTGCAATATGATCAAACAAACTATGGCCCTTTAAAATATTTCTTACTTAATCAAGTTTTTAGAGGCCTCAAGTTATACTAATATGCTACACATTAGTTCTTCCGTGCAAAATTACATCTTTCACCAAAGGAAATGACCAAAATTAAACAGCATTTTGCAACAGTACATATCTCACATAAGAGGCAGTTCACCAAAAAGAATGGTTTTACCACACATAAAGTACAACAAATACAATTATGCACAATAAAACTTTTAGCTTGCATGTTACTTGTGTGTTGCACCCCACACTAAACATCATGAAAAGTTAAAGTAACCAAACTTGCCTCCTGTCATGCCCAAAGATGGCTGAGTGGCAAAGGAGCCCAGAGGCACATTTTCTGTGAATAGAAAAATGAAACAATTTGTTAACCACCAAATCTTTACCCTTTCTCTTTGCTACTTTAACACACTATACAACCCAAAAGAACATGAAAGATCCATTGGCCAAAAACATAGCAGTTGAATAATCATAATTACAACAGGTAATAAAAGACCGACTGACCAAGGTTCTGAAATCATTACCAAAATGCCTAATTGCAGTTAAGCATGAAAATAGGGTGGCAGCACTTGAGAAAACTAGTAACACACTCATACTCCTAGGCATTATTGATAAGAGACTGTCATATTTTCGAATTTTTCCTCGCGTCCTGTCAATTTCACTGTAGCGGGATTTGACTGTAGATCAGGCTCGTGCAAATATTCAAGCATTTTGAATATTTGAATGAATGTTACAGTAGTTTAATTCACTTTGATACCAAACGAACGAATCAAAGATGAACAAATAAAAAAATGAACGAATATATTAGTCTGCATGTAACCCCCCTGTAAAGGTCGTTTCACTGCAGTGGAGGGGTGCTATACCAGAATATACCTATCCAAGGGAAATGTGCAGAGCCACAAAGTCACACTTCAAGGTTAGATAAACAAATTACCCTCACATCGATTATTCATTTCTTAAATTTAAAAGCTTGTAAAACGAGTTTATATGCTCTGAGTATAATACATACTACTCAAACAAAACATATTTTGCAGGTGATCACTTGCATTCTACAGAAAGTCGAATGCTGCTTCTAGTCAGAGTTGCTTTCGCTTCCTTGAATTAAAAAGTGCTATTTGCACGTCTTACTTCGCTTTTAAAAAACTATAGTGCAGGTTAGTTGGATCATAACAAATATGCTGATTTTCATTTATAATATGTGATAAATACTATTCGAGTTAGATTGAAAATTATTCTACCAAATCACTATTCACATCGAACCTAAATTCACTATATTTGCACAGGCTTTAAATACGATGCATCATTGTGGAAAAACGGAGACTGAATCCAAAATGTACATGTACGGTATATACGTACTTCCGCTGTTTATTTTGTCTTCAGCTTTGTCTTTTCTCAGTTCTTAGTAACTATACCATGCAGTATGTAAGATAATAGCCAACTAGCTCAAACAAAAGCTGTGCTATATCAGTTTCTTGTAAGCGCCATCTAGGACTTGAACAGAGGTCCAGGCATCATCAGCCAAAATGAGTTTAAAAGCATGAAACAGAAGTTTATTCCAGACAACAATGTGCATTCGTGGTGCCGATATTGCTGCACATCTCAATTTAAAACAGAACACAAATTTACCAACCTGGGTGTGCAACGTACTAGCGACAGACGTGAGCAGCTGTTTCCTGAAGCTTTTTTGGACATGCAATCACTTACATAGGACATCACATGGTGCTGAATTGAGAATTGAGATTCGTACACGTACAGCCTAGAGGTGAGCTTGTTAAGCGTTTATCAGAGCTTACCTTGCATCCTTCGCAATGCACCATGCACTGGCTGGCAGCTATATTCATGAACAGACCAAGTAGCGCGTGACAATGCAAATGTAAAGTACGTGATCATATCCCAAATGCGTATGCTCGGAAGTATCACTTGAGCTCTTCGACAAACCTAGCCACATACTTACAAGCGAGCAATTCATTAAAAAACGATGCTGACATGGTGCAAAGTTTTGTTTGCTGCCACAGCAGTAACCTTTGTTTACTTTTACGATGGCTGTTCCAGCGTTTGACTTTGCAATCTTTGGGCACTTTCGGGTTGTCGCGAGATTACAACACGCGTAAGCACAACTCTGTTTCCAGTCCCAACTTGACCTAGCTGACTGACCTCCGGCAGTGAGCCAACTGCCAGAAGTCCGAAAATCGAAGATCCCCAGTAGGAAAGAGTGCACTAACCAAAACACACTGCACAGATACTACGCTTATATCAACCAGCGGCAGATCTCTCTGGCAATTTGCCCAATGACGTCAAAAAGAAGCCGCTGGCAGCCAGAATATAGCTGTTAAAAAAAAAAGAGTTCCGAAATTGCACTCCGTTCGTGAACTTCAAGTCCATAGCATTGCAAAATTTGGTTGCGAAATTTGGTGAAAATGTTCACAGCTCCATCTTCCATCTATGAAGTAACACAGGAATAACATTTAAAAAATAGAGGTAACACTTATCATGGTCTTGTGAATATTGTCTTGCTGTAGAGAATGTTTGATGAATCCACCAAGCATAACCAACAAAACTCTGCACCCACAGTAACTTGCTATATTCGACAGTGAAGAATATCGCAGTCCCTTACCTGTGAGAGTTGGTTGCCCGACCCTGGCCAAAGCTGTCGCCATAGCAAGTGCAGCATCACTCCTAGTACTGGAAAATGGAGTGGGGCCCAGAGTAACAGCTGTTGTGACGGAACCGACGGTGCCACTCTGTGGCTTGCTGGGAGGCACAGTCATTTTCCCAGAGCTCAGTGCATCTTTCCGTCGCTAAAAAGCAAGCCATAACAGATGGGGTTCTCAAACTGGGTTCTGTGAAGGGCATTTTAGAGATCCGTGAGTGGCCAGAATGAAAGCAACCCGCCCTAATTTTTTCACCATTAGCAACAAATTTATTTATTTGAACAAGCAAACAGGCAACGCATATTGTACTCAACGAAGCCACTGCATTCTGCATCCAAACATAGGGTGTTTGCGGGTAACGAGAGACCCATGTAGTAACAGCACTAGACTTGTCGTCGAGTTCGTACCATGCAACTTCCATGATTTGTGGACCCGTGCTGACAGAACATGAGGAGTTATGGTAATTTATGCACATGAGTGTAGCCCCTTGGCTTCCAGGCTTTCTGTGGCTGCTACCGCCCTTTATTCCATGGATAAATTTTTGTGCCCACAGGCTGCATCGGTCAGGGGCATGTAAACCGCAATAAAATCAGCAAAAAATGTCATAGACTAACAAGTGTTGTTTTATTCTAGTAACAATGCTTCACTGCATGAATTGTTTCAATACGATTTTCGTGCGAGCGAAAGCTTTGAAGCCAACAGGATTGTGAAGAGCAACATTGCATTGTTTTTTTTCGGATTTCCTTCAGCTCTCGTACTTTTTGCTGTGTCTTTCAAACTAAGCACCACCTTGAGACATAACTTTTTCAATTTGTTCAGCAGGATCTGACGAGAAAAATGAGACCACTAGGCAGCTTGTAGGTGCACTTCTGAGGCTGTGATAGGCGGTTTTATGCATGAGTGCTTGTGTCGAAAAATCAAAGAAGATGCACCCTTCACTGCTAAAAAAAACACGCATACACACTAACAAACACTTCCAGCAACGCACAACTATGTCTACCTAGTGGAGAACATGTCCAGAAAACAGCAAACAATGAACAATGTGCTGCCATTCATGAAACGTCAAAAACAGCCATTTTCTAAACAGCCGGCAATTCACTGGTCAAAACTCTTTTGGCCTCACCGTCACGACCGGCAGATCACCAGCTGCCAAAGATTATGAGTTGAAAGCAATTCTAACGACACTACCAGGAACCTCAGTGCTTCATTCGTGGCTCATGATGCGCCATCAGTAATGTGAGACAGTTTTCATACACAGTGATTTGCCACTGCTCTGTCAGCTTTATATTCAAAACACAGTGTGAGCACTTCGACGCATGTAAAGAGGTGTCACAACGTGCCGGCTGTAGGACACACGAGCATTTAGGCTTAGCGTTAGTACCAGTTATTAATCAACGACCATTTCATTATGCGAATGACATGCCTCTTTTTTTGTTTGAAAAAAAATAATAAAGCAGGCATCTGCACGTTTGGTGCTTTGTTTGACTATAGGTTAAGCGTGATTACATTTTGATGTCGATGGAGCATGGGTTATGAAATGATTGCTTTTTGGAGCAGTCGAGGTTATTGAATAGGTTTAAATGTCGGAATCTTTGCTGTCACGATCATTGAAAGCTGCAAGATGGAACAGCAGCGCCTCTGGTTCTTGCATCAGCTGTCACACCCACTTCGAAGAGCAAGCTTCTATGAGGAGCTGTGAAAATGACTCGTTCTAGAAACGTTGCTACATAGTTGGCGTGCTCTGACGTTGCCCACAGTAGCACGTGACACTAAGATAATTATTTGATGCAACATGTGTAGTTTGTGTAATATGTTCCTTGAGTAAATGAGTAAAACTTGAGAGCAATAATAAAACACAAAAACAGATTGTGTGCGAGTTTTCTTTTTTAATTTGTACTACGAATTGCAGTGAGATGCCAGATTGATTTGCGTCTGTATCATATGCGTTCATATCCTCACGCATCGCGTAAATGCCATCCCTTACAACGAAACCAATTGTCTGCAGCGCTTCAGAACTCATTAGGCTCGTTTATCTTCATGCATCTCACTAAATGTACATGCATAACTGGCTGATAATACCGCTAGCCTCGCGTCCATACAAATGTCACAGCTTTTATGCTGAGTAATAGGTTGAAAGCTAAGTGATCGGCAAGGATGCATTCGGCATGGCTTGGAGAGATGAAGTGCAGAGAACGTTGACATAACACTGCTTGCATCTCAGTGGTTCGGGCTGGTTCGGGCACATCGTGCGCTTTTACCCATGTGTACGCATGACATGTTCATGTGTATGCATCATGCGATCTGAGAAAAATTCTTGCGTTATTAAGCTTTTAATTGGGCACGTAACCACTTCCTGTGTATAACTAAAATTCGGTATGTCGCCTTTTGAGAAGCCCTTAAAGAAAAAGTCTAGGGGTTCTGTGGCACTGGGATTCCCCAAGGCCAGAAAGGTCGAGAACCCTTGCTACAATACAATCAAAAGGCATAATAAAGTGTATTTATTAATAGCTTCATTTAGAATGCACTAACAATCTAACCTTTTCTGTGCCATGATCGCTTCCTTCGCACACTGTTGGCAAAAACACCATCAAGTACTAGTACCTACAACTGCACTTGTCATTCACTTGTATTTTGCTTGCCAATAGTTATTCTTCTGTACCGTGTCAGGCTTCACTTCTACAATACGTGGCTAAATATATAAAAACTTTTTCGGTCAGCAAAAATGCAGTAGTGCAATAAGAAAAAAAAAGCGTTAGGCTGCTTAGCTTTTTGCAATTGACATACATGTATGCTGTTTGGAAACAGCCTCTTTGTTGCACTTTACTCATCTTTGGTGGTTGAAAATACTATCTTCTGCAAGCTGTCCCTGCGCCGTCGATGCAGTTTTTTGCGGCTTTTTTTTCTCGCAATTGTTTAACCGCAGCTGCGGTATCCGATGTCATCTCAAGGGGCACCCACAAGCGTGCACTACGATGCACTTTGCCAACTTCGTGGCAACTTCGCACGACGACCACGCCGCCGCCATTGACATTGCAGCAAGCTACCAACAAAACATCAAAACAAACCATCGATAACAAGATTAACGACAAAATACGGTTGCACATGAGAAGCTACTGTAAAAAGGCAGCCTATATCATGCGTTCTTCGAAGTGTGCATGGATAACAAGCACAAAGAGCAAATTGCAACTGAAGCGAGAATCAGGGGTGCTACCATGTTAAAGAAATCGTCAAAATTTTTTCTGGGCGACAAGCGATTGTTTCTGGTTTTCAAGAAACCTGGGATGCGATGGCGACGAATGGCCTATCGTGACAGCCATGGCAACGGCAAATTCTGTCGTCACTCGAAAATGACGAGCATGTGGTTGGGCCTTAAAGTTTCGTATTTGCAGGAAGCAACCGTCGGTTCACACGGGCAGTTCGCTTGCTGTGTGCTTATGAGCTGTGATGTCTCTACACTCGCACCATTCATGGACCCCACTGTGGCACATAGATAATTAAAAAAGACTGGAGACGTGCTGCGAACAGATGGAAACACAATACGGCGCCCTGCAGCGGGTGAAGAGGAGGAGGGAGCGAGCAAAGGTGGCCGAAGGAAGTAGGCATAATAAAAACGAAAGAAATCCAACGAACAAGGAGGCGCCAGGTGTCTGTTAGTGGGACTGCAGTGGAACAATGTAGGGGGCGTATTTATCACGCGGGTGAAAAAAAATGCAAATTTTGACGACTGAAGCTGTGTATTACATGAGTGCATTCATTACACGAGTAAATACAGTAATAAAATTCTCGAAATACTGTTTACAATGTTTTCATGAACAGCTAATCAGTAAAAAATATATCAATCATTTCTGAAACAAATCCACAGTCACAGCACAGCAAGGAAGGTGAAAACAAAAAGGGCATTGTTCTACAATGCATTTTCCTGAAATATTTGGAGGGCTCTCTTGCTTTACACAAGGACGACAGATCTATTTCAATGAACATACTCCTTTTAATTTTCTAGATCAGAAGTGAGTGCACAATGCTTCTTGAGTGATCGTAGCAATGACATTATTGCAGCAGAAGGAGGGTATATTTTTAACTGCCGTTCCAACCGAATTCAGTCAGACACAACAGCAAACTGTCTGCCTCAATGTCATTCTCTGTTTGCAAGCCTCTCTGTGCTATACACTGACCCTATGACTTAAAGCAAGTCTACAATAATGCACCAGATGACAATATGCAATAGCCTGGTGGCGTTAACCCAAGCGATGCCATTCTCACGATTTGCAAAGAATGCACGTGTAGGCAAGCCCTTGACTCAAACGTTCATTAAAGTTTGGCTAAACTATCCAACATATATAAATACATACCATCATCAATATCATTCCGTGGTTTTTATAACAATTTGCTGCAGCAATGTTATAGAATGTGCAAGCAAGTCAAAATGAGACACACATGCCGTAAACTTGCTGAAAAGTCTTACCTGTACTTCCGCATGTATATTTTGTAACTGGGCAGCCAGAGAGACGAAAGATGCATGCAGCTTCTTCACTGTGGCTGTCAACTCTAAAAAAATAATACGAAAGGATATGTTAATACTGAACAACCAGAGGAAAATAACTGCATCTATTTAGTAAAGGTGTGAAAACTTTAGGTGAAGGGACTTCTATTCAAATGTATAGTAGACTCACGATAACCAGAGATCTTTCTAATGTAACTGCTGCTTAAATTGAACAAATGGAACAACTGCCTCTCATATGAACGGTTTCGTACTTGAATTCTGAACCCTTGTTCATCTCTCCATAAATAGAACTTAGCTAAATGACATAAATTTTCCTGGTTCATTCAGGTTACGTTTAGAGGAGTCTACTGATGATAGATGAGAATAGAAGAACCAGTTTTCCTGGCAACAACAGCACCGAATCTGATATATTTTTCTGTGCCCCCCCCCCCCCCCCAAAAAAAAAAACAAGTTAAAATCTACCAAATATACAGGAAGTGGTTTTACTAAATGTGGGCGATCAACTTTATCCTAAAAATTGAAGGAAATTCTAACAATGAAAGACACTTATCAATTAAGTTCACACTCTGTAACACAGTAACGAGAAATGATAAGAGCACAATTCTGTAAAATTCAGCTAACACGTTTTTAAGGTAGACAAAAGTCACAAAAAAAAAGTAATTTTTTTTCTATGCCTAGGTTAGCATGGGCATAAATTTCCTTATAAGTTATAACAATATTTTTCTAATAGTCACATGGTAAAAATCTTAAGCAAGAAAGGAGAGAACCATGGTTTTAAATTAGGGGTGTGTGAATATTCGTACTTCCAAATATTTTTGAAACAGTGTTTGCTATCTGATTCGATCCAAACCGAAATTTACTATTCAAACTTCCATAAGGTAATTATACAATCAACGTCTCATTTTTCGTATTCTTTAGGGACCCCGAAATCGCCCAAAAAATTGGGCAGTTTGAAAAAACTAACTGATGCATTGTTATTCCCCTCAAGCGATCAAATCACCACAGTTATGTTTGAAATACCTTTGATGCCTCCTAGTAAACTTATCGGGCGTTCTGGTGCATGCCCAAGCTCTCGTGAGTACATTCGGTACATGCCGCACGCCCCGCTTAACCATGCGAGTTTGAGTCTCATGATGAACACCGCAAATACCAACAAAGCATGGAAGAAATTAAAGCTCTTTCGCATGGAGCGTTTTGGGAACAATGATGCGTAACACAAATACTGTGACGGACGATTCATCTGGCTTTTGCCAAGGCGCGTGAGCACAAAAACTATCGGCAAATCTGCGCCGATACGCAAAATTCGCTAGCACACGACGCCGATCGTTCCCAGTTGTGTGCAGCGAATTGCCATCTAAGCAGATGTTGTTACTATAGGGGCACTTGCTTTGCCGTACGCACGCATTTGCCATGAAATAATTCGTGACGCCCACTCTGTTCCTGACCACACGCGGGTGCACCGATGGCAAGCTGCTTACGTTCGTGAAGGCAAAGCGTCTGTGTGGCGCACTTCGCGGCCTCGCAAGAAAAGACAGCATGGACGGCGGCATGACCCGTTTGTGTTACTATATGCATACCACTGCATTTGGACACATGCACTACTGAGCAGTTAGCTGAAGGTGCTTATCAGGAGAACTGTAGACAATAAAGGCGTGCTGGTGCGTTTGCGCTTGCCGCTATCGCGCCACCATGCATTTTTGGTGCTTATCCGTATGAACCTCGCCGAACTGCGCCATGACAGCGGCCGCTTTAGACTTTCAATACGCTTCAACGCATCACACTCTAACGTTGCGGCAAAGCTGCCCTTCAAGCTCTGCTACCGGTCGCAGAAAATCATGCTACGTAAACTTTTGGTCTAGTTTCTTCATGTTTGCAGTAAAACAGCACTAGAGACAACGGACCACATGAAAATATAGACATGTACACTAGGCACAACATGTATCTGTCTTTCTCCTGTCTGGTAGATTGTTGTCTACGGCACTGTTTTACTGTGCAAAAGGTCGACTCCCGAAAGCGTTGCTTGGAACCTACGTGGCAGAGGTAGGGCCTTTTCTGACCTAAAATTAGGGCAGAAAACAAAAAACTTGGACACCACAAATTTTTAGACTCAGATATTCCAGATGTTTTTTAGTGATGTCTATGGGGCAGATCAGGAACTCTAGACTCGAAGGAAGTGTACCCTTGCCATCAATGTGTTCGGCCTCCATAAAAGTTGGAGGTCAAGAGGCTGAGGAAACAGGGTCTTTTTATTTCACGTCTAAAGTGTTGTTCGCACCTGACTGGTTACCCCAAGTTATGTAGATATGTACAATTTAGCTTCTGCATTGGCTCATTCTTGATAAGAAAATAAGGAAACACTACCCCTTCTGTACTTCACTAACCTGCCACAAGAAATGCTGCCATGTTGCTGTCTCATAAGAATATGCTTAGGGATCCTCTACAACTTTTTTCTGTAATTTGACTTTAAATTGTTTGAAAAATATTCAGTTTGATTTGCACTGATACCTCAATGTTAAAATTCGTTTTGCACCCAAAATTCGCCATTCACATCGCTCTACTTTTGATGTCTAGTGGCCTAAAGCTTAGTATGGTCATTGTAACACTAATAACACTGACAAAGGTACACACAAATTAACTTGTGTTTACAGTTTGACGTACAATTTCTCTCGAAATTCCAGACAGGCCTGATTTGCGGGACTCAGCTATGGCACCGCCAAATTCCCCATAAAGCCGATGTATTAAAAAGTCTTAATTCAGACGTTTATAGCTTTTGCCATTCCATTTTCCAGACTTTTTACCGCTAACTGCAGACTCGCAGTCACTACTGACGCCGCCATTTTGGTTGCTGTCGTACCCTCGAACCCACTACACCGTGGCTGCCATACCTTCAAAACCTAAAATGCTGCAATCCAGCGCACATCAATGCGTTGCCAGCCACAGCTTAGTCAAACCTGTGGCCACAGCAGCATGGTGCTGTGCCTGTGCTACGACAGTGGCAAAAGCTAAGCTGTTGACCTACGGTCTTCCGCCGACGTGCTTGTGGACTCGTGGCAGGCGGTTACGCAATAGACCCTCCTTGAACCGTTTTCACCACAGAAAATACCAGACGCCGAGACGGCCGTCTTGCCTGGAGTGGACAGAGTGTGCGATGAATTTACACCAGCAGACATTGCCTTCAATGAACTGCACGCTGCCGGTGTTTCGATTCTAGCCGGGACAACCTTTGAGGGCTTCGCCGGCGCTAAAAAAGACTTCGAGCTGTGTGCGGAATTGACTGATGACGACATCATTCGTCAAGTTACAAAGGATTACGACAACTTTGACAATGAGATCGAATAGGCAGCACCTACACAGTCAACGAGCTCGGAGTTAACACGAGCACTGACACGGTCATCGGTGTACATACAGTACAGCGACAGCATGACGTTAGCTGAAATTGAGGCAGACATCATCACGGCCAAGTGGAATGCTACGCAATTGAATATAAGTGATTTTTTTTTTAGCCGAAGTGTTTACAAATGAGGTAGTGCCGGCCACATCGAATTTTTTTTTCTTTCTTTCTTCTATTATACTTACATATTTTTAAAATATAAACAGCTCTTTTCAGAGCCACCTAAATGATGCATTTGCTGAATTGAAATGAGAATCCTGCATTCCTGCCATGACCCTCTCCATCGGTGAAAAATACCTATTTAAAAAGTATGCTTTCGCTTGCATTCGTTTTTTCTGGACTGCCCGATTTTTCTGGACATTTTCGTGGTCTCGAGGGTCTGGGAAATCGGACATCTACTGTATATGCATGTTCAAAAATATAATACTATAAACAAGCAATATCACACACAAAACATGAGTTATGCAATGAATTTGCTTACTCATTGGCATGAATTATTTTGGAAAATATCAATAAGCATAAATATCCTAGCTGAAACTGGACAATAACTCAAGCTAAACCAACAATGTTGTACCGCCCGGGGCTCATTTTAGGCAAGGTTTTGTAAACAAGGCACACATGTAGCATGACACCATTCTGGGGTGTTGAAATTGACATGTAGTTGGTGGGAGAAATGGCACCAGCATTTTCAGTACAAATTCTTAGTAGCATGCTTGATGTCAAGCCAAAGGCTGCATACCTTGTGGCGAGAATTTGGAAGAACTTGCAAGGGATGCGAAATGCTGCTCCAGTTCCTCAATTTGACCCTTGTACAGCCTCATCTGCTGGTTGTAGTTTTCTACAAGCTTCTGGAAGTACCTGCAACAAGTTAGGTAACCTTTGAACAAAATATTTTTTGCACAACTGACGAGACAATGATGAAACAGCTCACAGTTTGCAGTTCAAAAGGCCTTGTCACTAGGAGTGTGAGAATTTTCAAAATTACGAATATTTTTCGAAATTGTTTGCTATTCAATTCAATTCGCACTAAAATTTTACTATTAGAACCATTCGAACTTCCCTTAGACAAGGACAGTCAACATCTGATAAATAATGGTCCCTTCACATTTTCAATATGTTTTACCCCACTACAGTCTAGTATCGCAGAAAAGGTGCCTTTCAGGCTTTGCTACAGTTAATTGACTTTTGATTTTGACTCTATTCACCGTAGCATTGACTGAAGAAAACAATGGTTTGACTGCAGAAAACAGGACAATTTATTTTCACACACTTTTATTTCCACCGCATATAATTCAGGTTATATCAATGTGATTTCGACTGAAACGCACAGATCAGAGCAGACATTTTTTTTTTTTTTTTCAATCAGATTTACTGTGAAATGACGTGTTAACCTCGAGCCATTGCAAATACCAGAAATTATACTTAAAAAATTGATGTTGCATTTGAGTTCGTGAGCACTGTACATATATACCATTTTGGCTTTGCATTGCCCCCTTCTTGATCAAGCAACTATGAAACACCACCCCACCAGTGCGTCATCAACCTAGTCAATAGAAACACTTTCATGTTGCCACCTCATAAGAATATGCTTAGGAATCCCCTCCAACTCTTTTTTTCAGCAATTTTGCTTCGAAGTATTGAAAAGATGTTCTACAAGTACAGTGAAATCTCGGTAGAACGAACCCCACATTAACAAACTTTTCAAAATAACGAACTTTTAAAAAATCCCGCATAGACTGCTAATAGTTTCAATGTAAAATTATTTCAAGATACGTACTTCAGAATACCGAACTTTTCAGAATAATGAGCATTAATTTAGTTTTGCATATTACTAACGATGCCTCAGTACTACGAACTTATGTTCTGAAATCCGTCGCGACCATCGGAGCGATATGCAAGCAGACGACAAAGCGGACGCCTTGCTTCTCGAAAGACGTGCGAGGGTGCGGAGGAAAATAAAAAAAACAATAGGGCGACTTTCTTATCTTTATTTTTGTTGATATGCCGATGCTGCAGGTTTACAAGCGGGCGCAGATGCGAGGGCAACATGGGAGGGCAAGGTCAGCGAGGCAGAGTGGGAGTTGCGGAGCAGGAAGCATGGGCGCGGAAAACCTGAGACAGCGAGAGAGCAGAAAATAAAATGCGAGGAATTTTCTTTTCTAGCACTTTTTTTCTTTGAAAGAGGCGATGACAGCCGTGACGCTTCGGGTTTTTCTTTGACGGACCTGTTTTTTCAGTCGTGTTCATCTCTTTTCGGTGATTACTTATTACGTCCGCAAAACAAGTCGGCATTCGCGCTATGGTATACTACAAAGTATACTACAAGTCGGCGTTCGCGCTATTGTATACTACAAATGAGTTCATCTCTGCTTGCGACAAAGAAGCTGAAGCAGGCTGTTGTGACCCAAGAACCGAATCGCACCACAGGAATGTGGATGAGCTGGAGGCCTTTGTGCTGCAAAATTTGTGCTGCTCGCGAAAAAAAAAAAAAAAAACACGGACTTCTTTAAGCTAAACAAGCAATTTTCGGTGTTTACTTGTGCATTTGTTTTTTCCTTGTGAAAAACGAGTTCAAGGACCCACCATTGTAAAGGTATGTATGTCGTTTTGGTTGGTGAAAAATAAGTATTTATGGTTAATTTTCGAGCTTCAATATTACGACCTTTCAAAATAACAAACAAATTTCCGCGATCCCGTAAAGTTCGTTTTACGGAGATTTCACTGTATTCAAAAAATATTCTAGAAATATTTAAGAAATATTTGAAAAATATTCTATTTGAATTCGCTTCATATTCTGAATTTTTCTAATCACATAGCTTTACTTGCCATCGGTAAAACAGCACACTTCTATTTTGTTGTGACGTATTGCTTGCATTACTAAACTTTAATTATTTACTTACTACACTTTTTGTGAGTGCAGGAATTAGAAGAGTACTGGCCATCAAGTAAAATAAAAATGCGAGCTTCATCATCTAATACAAGAAGCAGAAAAGTACAAGTACCATTCGCTTAAGTTTGCACACTGGCTGTCGATCCACCATTATCAACGAAATCGGCCACTCGACCCAACTGCTTTTGATGAAAGAATGAAACAAGGAATAATTTTGTAGACAAATGCAACTCCTAGTTGCTCAATTAACTTTGTACACAAGATTTTTTTTAGAAGACTGCATCGCACTTGAAACCCATCTTCTAGTTTCTAGCTTAATGTATTAACATGCTATTGTTGCTGCACGCCCATTAATATACGATAACAGGATAAAAACTTACAAGTTGGGTGCCGTGTTCTCATACTGCAAAGACGTTGGTGTCTCCTTGGTGTGGTGAGCAATCTCCGCATTCTTCAAGTCCTGAAGGAGAGACAAATAAGCATGTCACATTAAATTATCGATGTTGCAGGCTAAACCAGTTTCATGAACTAAGAAAAGAAAAAAAACGTATGCGACCGCACTGAAAAAGCCGCGCATTCGAAGAAAAAATAAAGAAATAAGTGCTCAAGGTCACGAGGCGCACGTGACGTTTTTCTTTGCCCCTGCCATCCCTCTCTGCTTAGCTTCCAACATTTACGTCGGGACGAAAGAAGAGAGAATGTAATTGCAGCATGCGACAAATCTTTGTAACTCCACTCGCACTGAACGGATTCTTAAAATTTTTGTGGCGCTGAATTCATGAGGCAATAAGCTCTTCCAGTGAATGCATTCTATGGTTACTTGAAAAAGTGGTTCAGGACCCCTTTAAACTTTGAAAAGAAGCTTCACGGCAGTGCGAATTTCCCCTCAACATGCTTTCACGGCTTAGAACCCTTAAGCTGCAGTGAAACCATCTTTACAAGAGGTTGCGTGTGGATTAACATACTATTCGTTCATTGTGAATACTTCAAAATTTTCAATGTTTAAATTCGAGTAGAAGCGAATTTGAATACGGTACTATTCGTTCGAATATTCGAAGCATTCGAATACTCACACAAACTTAGTCGTGGCGCATGCTACTGGGCGCTCCTCGGGATCACAGCAGATACCACTGTGGCGGTTAAACGATTGCAAGAAAGCCACGGAACGCACTAATGGAGTGTGCGGGCGCATCCACCACCGAAGAAGAGTGAAGTGCAACAAAGAACCTGCTTCCAAATAGTAACTTTTTGTTCCATTAGCGTATTTTTTGCTCATCCCAAAAAAGCTTTCATAAAATTTGCCTCACATAATAAATGCACCCCCAACTTTGCTTAGATTTTTCAAGAAAAAAGTGTGTTAATTATGAGAGTATACAGTATTTAACGACAATTCATATTCAAAGCAAAATATTCATATTATAAAAATGTGATATTCTCACACCCCTAGATATTTTCTTACAATACAAACACATTTCTGCTATTTTTTATGCAGCTTTACACTCACTTTTCCTTAACAACCTTTTGCCTTTTTGTGACCTCATCTCAAGTTTTAAAAGCTACCAGCTAGCCCTGCTTCTAATGTTACTGACAAGAAAATGAGGCTGCAATGAAATAAAGCTTGCACGAAGCACACACCTCTGCTGTCTCGCGTTTGAGACGCTCTACGGCTCCGGCATTCCGCTGGATTCCATTCTCCACAGTGCAAAGCAGCTGTCGCAGGGCTGCTGTTTCCTCTTGCACCTTAGCTATGGCATGAGAGGGTATCCTGGAGATCTCTTCGCGCACCTCCTTTTGCTCAGTCACGTATTTTCTGCATAACACGAATGCAAACAAGTCACATAACGCATAAGACTGTTCACTGTGAAAATGTCGTGGCTTAAAATCTCCTGTAAGTACTAAAGTAAAAACTGGAATAGAGGTTGAATTTTATTTCAAAAAGCCGCAATGAAAAGTAGACCCTCGTCTTATATGCCAGTCATTGGCAGAAAAAAATGCGGAGTCTCGCAATAATGGGCAGCTGAAGTTCAAAGCCTCCATTGCCATCATGAGCATAAGCAGCGGCACTGTTGGGCAAGGCTAGGCAAGGCCTAGTGTTCTAACAACGCAATTTTGCCTCGGTTACCTGCTATCAATCTGCTGTTTTTTTATTCTATTTCCTTCAGGAATGAGTGGTAGTGGGCAGCAGTTTAGGATAGGCTTCAAGAAAAAAGTTATGGAGTATGCCGAAGCGCACGGCAACCAGGCAGCACAACGGGAATTCAGTGCATCAGAGAAAAGCGCCCGATACTGGAGGAGCCAAAAGCAGTGCATCACAACCTGCAGCAATGGAAAAAAAAAAACATAGTTTCATGGACAGACTGCAGATTGATTGATTGATATGTGGGGTTTAACGTCCCAAAACCACTATATGATTATGAGAGACGCCGTAGTGGAGGGCTCCGGAAATTTAGACCACCTGGGGTTCTTTAACGTGCACCCAAATCTGAGCACACGGGCCTACAACATTTCCGCCTCCATCGGAAATGCAGCCGCCGCAGCCGGGATTCGAACCCGCGCCCTGCGGGTCAGCAGCCGAGTACCTTAGCCACTAGACCACCGCGGCGGGGCGGACAGACTGCAGAGCACCCTGAACTGGAAACGCTACTCGGCGAACTTGTCCAGGAGCTGCACATAAGATCGCTACCCGTAACAGCGGAGTGCATTCGCTTGAAAGCTCTTAAGATAGCGCGAAACTCCACGAGGGTGCAATTCAAGGGATCGCCATCGTGGGTGCGCCGATTCATGAAGCAGAAGAGATTTACGCTGAGGCGGCGTACTTCCGTATTTCCGCAAATGCTGCATCAGTAACACATTGGATGGAACGGCGAACGATGTACTATGGGACATTAGTGAAAAACAGGCATCGCCGGACTGAAGTTCGGATGAGTCTGAGTGACAGCAATTTGTGGCCTTCTGGTGTTTAGCTACATAAGATTAGTGTCCAAATGAAAAGAAATGTCACCACAGCTCAGCTGATTGTGTTGCGTATTTACCAAGGTAAGGGTGCACCATGATACTTTGCGATTTTTAAAGATTTCTTTTTCGGGGATTCAAAGCTTTGGGGGGTCGACCTACACACTAGACTCTCAGTAAACAGAACTCTGTTAAACGGTACTACTGCTTACTGTATGCAGTTATGCACAGTCTATGTTAAGGTGAGCATGTTCATATTCAGAGAGCACACCACACGTGCATTTAATAATAATCGGTGGTGTTCTTACATCCCAATACCATGAAAGATGCTGTAGTGGAGCGCTATGCAAATTCCGACCAGCTGGAGTTCTTTAGGCACCTAACTCTAGACACACAGGCCAGCAGTATTTTGCCTCCATTAAAATCAGGGTTTCGACCTACTTTAAGGTCAGCAGACAAGCACCCTAGTCACTAGGCCACTGAAGCGGGTACTTAGGCTGTCGCTTGAAATAGCGATTCTAGTTAGAAACTGATTAGGTGTCCTACAGTAGAATCTCGATGATACGATAATGATTGATGCGAATTTCGCGATGATAAAAATTTTAAGGTTGTTTTGGATGGACTATGTTATATAAAATACACCGTGATTCGGTGTTATACGAATAGTTTCCCCAGCCACCGCGGATGATACGAGTGTGCGATTGACCGCTGCATGCCAGCGGCGCAACGCGGCAAAAACACGCCGCGAGGCCGACACGACAAAATCGGTCCGAGACCAATTTTCTCGCCACACGATAGCATAGTATCGCCTTTTTGCTTCACGGCTTTGGTTTCACTGGCTGCTCTATTGCTCTATCTCTCAAACCATGTGATGTCAATAAGCAAATCAACATGGCGGTGAAGGCATCAGCGGTAGGTCGTGTCGGCACTACCGCGAACTACCCGCGCGGCCATTGAGTTAAGCGGCACGTCAAAGCTCACGATCTTGACAAGGACGCTGTCATCGAGAGCCTGGTTTGGATTACGATCGCTGATAACACCGGAAGTAGAAGAAGGTGCAGCAGCAGCGAGTCGGCTTGCCCGAACCTGTCTTGCTTTTGCACTGCTGGTTGAATCCGTCGTCGCCGCTGTGTCTGCTCGTGTCATTTCGGCAGGCGTGTCTTCCAAAATAACTTTAGTAAAGGTGCAAACTGTTTCTTTTCAGTGCTTTGTATGCATAATTATAACTCAGTACGAACTTCAGTGCTCAGGAAACAGGCAAAAGGGAATGAATATTAAAGCAGTGGTGGGGGTGGCATGTATACGAGGGGCCGAACGAATGTGCACGATTTCGGCGGGCGCAGACAAGGTTTTTCGGCTGCGCTGGCATTTTCGCTTGAATTCTCCAATGGGAATTCTCCAGGACATTATTTTTTGTGTCGACTTCGTGGGGAGATTTTCCGGCTGCTTAAGAGGAGAAGCGAGTGAATTTCCAATGAGTTTGGCCGCTTTTGTTCACTCTGATGTCAACTGTGAACGCGCTGCGCCAGCAGCATGAGCGAGGAAACTGCAGCACTTAATTAAGAGACTGTGAAGGCAGGAAAGTTACATCAGAGACTTTTTTCAGCAAGGTTTAGTTTGCAATGAAGTTTTTTTCCATCATCTTTATCAGCTTTAAGTTGTTTTTGGTTCATACGAATTTGGGCTGATACGAATATTTTATGCGCTCCCTTCGAATTCGTATCATAGAGATTCTACTGTATGGACTAAGTATACATCATTAAGGCAAGAAAAGGCACCTTCACAGAGAAAGTGCTAGACGCCTTAAAAAATATACGTTCAAACGTTGATATAACGAATTATCAGTTACAACAAAGTAACTGAAAAAGTTTTTTTTCATCAGCACGGTGTAAAGGATGTGCGGTTTTAACGAATTTTTAGTTCTAACAAAATATTTTCGCAGCAGGTGTGAGTTTGATATAACGAGGTTTGTACCACTTTCCTCTGTTCTTACTTCAGTTACATTAAGGCAAGAAGTACAGTCCCATAAATAAGTTTTATTTTTCTTCGTGCAGATCATCAAGGTGCATAACAACAGACATACATCAACAAACTATGAATATTTTGTTGCGTGTCCTCAGAGATATGCTTGGGCACATTACACACAGGTTTTCCTAATAACGAGAAGCACATGAAGCTTTTTGTGCACTTACTTGAAGGCCTCAACAGTCTCCACAAGTTGTGGGGGTAAGCTCTCCTCCTTCACCGTCTTGTCACTGAAGATGAAAAGGTGTGAAATAGGTCATCTTTACACAATGAACTAAAACAATGCCTGTTGACGTCAAGTGGAAACACAAAGGGAGAAAAGTCACTTTTTATCTAGACAGCATCGACTTGCCACGCACACTATCGAGATGTCACTCAAGCTAAACAACAGCTGAATCTTGACTCTCTAGTAACGCCTCACATAATGGGCTGACATTTACTGAATCAGATTCTGATTAGCCAGCCAAGCTCCGATTAAGAGGAATCACCGCTAGACTAACTTTTTCAGCCGAGAAACCGGCCCCCACTTCCACTACGTGCGCTAAGTGTGCAGGTGAGCACACTTTAACAAATTGTGTAGCTGTGCGCACGTCCAGCAATCAAAAACAAACCCAAAACCTATAATAATCATCTGTCTTATCACCAATGAAACGGAAGCAGTTTTGTGAATCCCTGAAAAAGGAAACGCGATCGCAACAGCATCATTTGTGTTTATCAGCACCTGCATTAAAATAGGCATAAACACGTACCGGGGAGCAATAAACAAGATATTAACAGATCCGTCATCTTTAGAAAGCTTCCAAACCAGAAAGCCATCAGTTCTGCAGGCCCAATAAGCGGGAACCTGCTATAAAATGATACTAAAACTAGCTGACATGCCACTGTACTAAAGCATAAAGGAAGAACGGAGAGGCACCGGCGCTGGAAAAAAAAAGTCCATATACATTTCTTGTAATGTGGCAGCACAAGGCAAGCAAGAACAATGACCGAAAAAGTCATGTATTTACAACATACAGGCCATGATGTAAATGTATCTCCTTGACAGTCATGTAGCTATTCGGGACGACGTACATGTACGTCTTTGACCTTGAAAGGGTTAAGCCTACTGCAACGCTCAAGTATATGTTAAACCCAGTATGAGGTCATTGCTGAGGGGCGTTACAGTCTCCCTTCGTGCTACACACGACACATCAAGTAAACGGGCACTATTCAAGCGCTGCTTCCAACAGAACGTGCCCTGCACACCCAAAGCTAAAAGCAAGCTTACAGCAGCCATTTATATCATCTATTACTATGAGCTTATTCAGATACAAGATTTAGACCAGAAGGGTTCTACACAGAGTTGATAGCAAGCAATTCCTTGAAATGAAGAATGTGAACTTCAACAGCACACAGAACATGATGAAACCAGCGTCACCCACGAATCTGCTGGTTATCAACACGGTGCCGGGCTGCTGTCAATCACACCCACGTTTATGAATAAGATGTTTAGTATAACCTATAGAGGGAAGGAATGTGACTGCCACGCTTATTACCACAATTACAAGAGGAAACAGATTTTGTGCCAGGTTTATTAAGGGCAGTTCGATACGATACGTTTTAGAAAGACAACTGTGTAAAGAGTCATTTTCCAACAAAATAATATCTCTAGCATTCGAATCTTCAATTCATAAATATATCATCGCAATTTGCCTAAATGTCAAGGTTGATGAACCAGGGGTGCAATTGCAGAACGGTTCTGTTCCGTTTTCAATGCTTTTCGCCGCCATTAACTGCCTGCGATTGGTCAAAGTGTGCCATTAGCCATCTGCAGTTGATTGAAGTGTTACTGCGACCAATTTTAGGTGGCTGATAGCAGCGAAAAGCATAGAAAGAAGGAATAAAATCATTTCGCGACTGCACTCCAGAGCGTTAAATTCTTAGTAGTACATGTATTCCCTTATTAACACTCTTGTTCACTACAGCTAGACAAAAAAAGAAGACACACAGGTGTATAAAGCCAGATTTCTTTAATACAACAGCAACATAACGTGTTTTTCTCATGCTCGTGTGAATAGTAACCTAAGGTTCGAAGTGAATTCGAAGTGAACAGGTTGAGTAATTTCATATCAAATTCGAATAGTATGCATCCCACATTATAAAGAAAATGAGAATATTTGTCCTGACCCAACTAACCTGCCCAGTATGTTTCTAAAATTGGAACAAGGCACTTGTAGATGTTATCCTTTCGGTTCAAAGGAAGTGAAAGCAACTTTGAATAGTAGCGAGATTTGACTTTCAGTGGAATGGATGTGATAACCTGTAAAATACATTATGATTTAACATTTACTGAATGCCAAGCATATGAGCTGGTATAACAAGGTTTCACACTTATAAAATGATGAATCAAGGTGCTGTAATACTATGTTCATTTAACCGTGAAGTGAGCTTTACGGCAGTGCAGATTTTTTCTAGATAGGTGTATTTATAGTATAGCACCCCTCTACTGCTGTGAAACCACCTTTACAGAGAACTTACGTGAGGCTTAATGTACACCTATTTGTTAATTTCGAATACTTAAAAATTTTCAATATTTTAAATTCAAATCAAAGAAAATTCAAATAATGCTGAACATAAGGACACTTTTAAACTTTCATTCTGATGCTTTTAAGTGGCACAAGTTGCTGGAGACATTGTAGGTATCGCACATAGAAAGCAAGGAACCTACCTTTTTCCTGCTGCCACAGAACCTGCAAAGTTGTTAGAATATTCCAATCAAGGACAGACCGTAAATAACAATGGCTATGCAAACCCATGCAATTTTTCGGCAAGTGATAAGACATCTTTATTTCCACAAAAAACTTAATTGTTTAACTGTTGCACACTTTCCTATCCAACAATTCTCACAGAGATCACAATACTTTGCAGGTGCACCTACAGAGCTTGTGGCAAAACCATTTGGCACAATATTTTTTTCCTTTAAGTCATGCAGAAGATATACCTTGTTGACTAAAAAACAGACCTGGTTATGTTGATATGCAGAAGACTGAACAAAAACAGACTTTGTAACAAAAATAGACAGTTGTAGCACCGAAAGGCGGGCGAGTTGGAACTTATCCATAGTGGGCAGCGCACAAAAGGAAACACACAAGAGAAGGAATCAGGACAAGCGCTGGCTGAAAGTTTTATTTGAAAGAAAGCATATATATACATGTGTACACAGAAAATCAAGTGCTACGCAAGATTACTTCCGATCAATGAAACCAATCTCCTGTTCAGATAAAGAAACAGATGGCTGGCTAACGCAAATGCCAATACTCTTCGCCATGTGGTAAGCCTCAGCAATCTCACGTGTCCTTTGATTATGATGGCGGTCGATGATTGCGGTTTGCTCAAAAGAAGGAATACAACCGCAATCGCGGCAATGGCTGGCGAGGTGAGACAGAACCCCACCCTTTAAAGAATTTTCATGCTCCCGTAGCCTAATATTAATACATCTACCGGTCTGTCCTATGCAGACACTCCCGCACGAGCAAGGAATTTTATAGACTACCCCGGTCGAACATGCGGTATACTTCTTAACGTGCTTGATTGAACAAGTGTTATCAACCGCCCTCGTATTTCCCTTAACGCGTCTATGAATCTTGCCACATAAGCTACCCAATTTATTCCCACTTGAAAAAACAACGTCAACCCCATACTGCCCCCCAACTTTCTTTAATCTATGTGAAATGGAATGTACATAGGGAATCACTGCAAAACGATTTTGCTCGCGTTGAGAGGTTGCTGGTTGGTTGATGGGCTGCGCGTTACTATTTACTTTCTTTAGCAAACGCTCGGAAGCAGAAACGAGAAAGGCGGTGGGAAAACCCGCTGTCTTAAGCCGATCACACTGATTACGAAAGCTTTCCTCTGTGGCATGGAAACAAGATTTTGCGACAGCTGCGTGAAGGCATGAAGTGACTATACCATTTTTTACCAGTTTAGAATGAGCAGATTTAAAGTTTAGGAGGGGTTTGGCCGACCTGGGAGCGTATAACCAACAGACATGCGCATCCTGGAATCGCAATGTTAGGTCAAGGAACTGAAGCTCATTCTTTTCATTGGGAACTTCACACCCTTCTTTAAAGGGAACCATTGGGAACCCCACCCTTCTTTAAAGGGTGGGGTTCTGTCTCACCTCGCCAGCCATTGCCGCGATTGCGGTTGTATTCCTTCTTTTGAGCAAACCGCAATCATCGACCGCCATCATAATCAAAGGACACGTGAGATTGCTGAGGCTTACCACATGGCGAAGAGTATTGGCATTTGCGTTAGCCAGCCATCTGTTTCTTTATCTGAACAGGAGATTGGTTTCATTGATCGGAAGTAATCTTGCGTAGCACTTGATTTTCTGTGTACACATGTATATATATGCTTTCTTTCAAATAAAACTTTCAGTTGTTAGACCAGCGCTTGTCCTGATTCCTTCTCTTGTGTGTTTCCTTTTGTGCGCTGCCCACTATGGAAAAATAGACATTCTGGATAATCAAGATAGTTAAAAGATAATCATGATAACTGTAATTATCCAAAATGTGCAGTATTAATGATAATTTAGCATTCAGCTGATATCCAATTTTATTAAAAAAGTGGCATATGACTTGAATAAACACCCTCGCAGTTCAGCTTCTCAATCTAAGATGCCACACACCCTAATTTTCCAAGGCACACTGCAGCCTCCAGTAATAACAAAATCAACACAGGCTGTTTATAGCAAAATTCGTACTAAAATGTTCTACTATACCAGGCAATGAGAAAAAAAATCTCTGTAAACTTTAAGAGGCGCTGACAACAATTTTTGAAGTAAAGTTTACTTCAGCATCCAAGAATACTGTACGCAGAAATGGCCCTGATCAACTGTGAGGCTCTTTCAATGCTGATAGGATGCTTTATTTTGAGAAAAAGTAAGTCTTTTGCATGGTGCACACACTAACATCAACCCCAGAGTAATGTCAGGACTTCCTCCACCAGCACGGCTAGTTGCGGTGAAGTCGGGTACGAAAACAGGCGCAATGGCTACATGCACGTAACCAACAGAGCCATGGAACGAAGCAGTTGTGGAAACGTCACGATATCTTGTGCAGGCACAAGCAGAGCAGCCCATACCGAGCTGTGCAGTAGAGGCCGAAACTAGCTTTTAAAACCATCATTGTGATGAATTTTAAAGGGTGCACTCACGTTTACCGGTACATTTTTTTTTTATGCTCTCGAGGACTTGGCCTTTCATTTGATGCAAGAAAACAACAACGGAAAGCTCTCGAGTCAATACCTTTCCAAAGAATGAATAAGAGCAGACAAAGCACCTTCGTGTCCCACAGGTTCCACAAAATAACTGCAGCTAATAGCTTATTACGTTCAACAAATACGCAATACTGTACGAGAACTAGATAAATCACTACATTAAGCTGTTCATCAAACATTTGACGCAATAACCGAAGTATGCACCCAACAACAAACCACAAACTTCACCTGGCACACTAGAGCTTGGGTGATCCACGCCACCGAGACCAGCAGCAGCTGTTGTTTTCGTTGCAGCAGTTGTGGGCTGGGTGAAGCCCGAGACGGAGCCGAGTCCTCCTACCACAAAACCAGGTTACGACCCATAAGTTTGTGTGCAGTGATCACACTCTCAGAATACATGGCATTTCAGTGAGGGTGGAGCAATAAAACAAAATAGTAGCACAGTAGAAAAAAATAATTCATTCACATTGATGCCATGTATTGTCAGGCTACAAACACTGATTTTAAAAAAATTGAAATTTTTCGTAAATTTTTACATTTATCAGCTTACGCCGCCATGTGTTGCTAATTTTAACTCAAGTATCAAGGCATGTTTTATAACTGTCTGAATAAAAATTTTGAATGCAAATATAGATGTTTTTGCTGTTCAGAGCAAATTCTATTCAAGGAACTGCTACCTGAAGTTGCTGAATATTCATTTTCATCGAGTACCACGAAGGACTACAACAGTTCTTTTACTCACAATGGCGAAAATTGCCACAATTCGTGATTTCTTTTATTCATATATCAAAAATAAACTTCGAATGCACACTACTAAGATTGGTGACTGTTCCATACGATTTTACTGTGCTTATGAACTAGTTACGGCATCCCAATATCAGTCGTGTGGAGATGTTACCAGTCATTAATAAACATCTACAGTTGAGCATCATAAATACTGTCTCAATTAGGGTAAAGCATTTTATTATTTTACCAATATTGCCATACATAGGTGGCTTCAAAATTATGTGCGGTGCATAAAGGCACCAATGAGCAACATAGTCTACCATGAGCATCTGGAAATTTGCTGTACCTTCTGCTGTATTCGCTGTTATTGCCATGATCTGCCAGACATAAGGATGTTTATTTTGTTTCCCACTTAAAAGCTTCTTGCTTGACTTGACATCCACTTGTTTATGTACAGTCGAATCTCGATAATTCAAACTCGAAGGGGCCCGAAAATTTGTTCAAACTAAAAGAAGTTCGAATTAATGAAAGCTGAATAAACCGAGGGCTCTCCATGCAGTGGCACATGTGCATTGAGCTAACACATGAGGGGGAAGTTTCAGAAGACTTACATTTATTCACAAATCACAGGACATCCATTATTAACTGAAGTATTCGGTGATGCGCGTCTGCACACGTTTGCCTTGCAGCGAGTCAATCAATTCCGCACGCAGCTTGCAAATCATTTCTACTTCGCTTCAGCATTCTCCTGGCAAGAGAAGTTGCATGCGCAAATGTCGAGTGCCGACTCTTTCTAAAGACGACGACAACAACGACTCTCCGCTATGCAACCGCAGCATGGCTAACACGTGACGAGAAAGGAGGAGCGTCTCCATGCGGAGAGAAGCAGACCGGCATTTGAGAGAAAACCAACACTCCACGGCAGCTTTTTTTTTTTTTGCTCTCTTCACACGCGTCGTTGAAAGGAGAAGGGTTACGTGGCAGGGACGGGAAAGGTGGTGGTAGTGGTTACAAGGAAGAGGAAAAAGGCACCTAATTTCTGTCTGCCTTCAGGCGACACGGCGCAGTGCCTTATAGGGGTGGGGGGAAGGAGGGATAAAAAGAATAGAAGGAATATAGACGAAGAAGAAGACAGGCAAGCGACGGAAAAAGAAGGAGATAGGAAAGTGGGGATCCGGTCGAAGCAGTCCAAGGGCGGGGCGCCACAATGCGAGAGCTGCACGGCGTCAGGAGACCGCGGAGGGCGAACCAGTCGGCGGGAGCTACGCTGGCGTCGGAGATCGCGAGGGCACAACCGTCCAGCTTGAAATCCTGCGAGCGAATCGACGGGAAAGAAGAGGGAAGCGTGGCACGGGCCCGTGAGAGCCCCCCTCTCCTCAAGGCCAAGGCGCAGAGTCGTGCAGCCGCAAGGAGCAAAGGCAGCAGAAGATAGTGACTTTTTCCTTTCCTTCAACCACACATTCATTCAACCCAGCGACAGCTTTATTTTTTTCCTCCCTCTCTTCGTGCGTTGGAAGGAGAAGGATCTTTACGTAGCAGGGACGTAAAAGGGAGAAGCGTGACACGGGCATGTCGCAGATCGGCATTTGAGAGAGAGCAAACATTGCACCACAGTCTTTTCTTTCCTTTTCATTTCCTTCGCGCGCAGCGTTGAGGTGTCGCAGGCGCCACCGCGGGATTGGGCGGGGTGCTAAAAGCATTTTCGGAGCACGGTATGTTCGAATTAACTGTCGCAGGTGCTTGCGCGTTCAAATTACTGGGCGCTTTCGCCCATTGGAATACACATAGCTTTGACGGGACCTTATCATGAGTTCGAATTAACCGGAAGTTCGAATTAAGCGTGTTCTAATTAATGAGATTCGACTGGTACTTTGATATAGCAATTATTATGAATATGTCCTTTAGTACCAAAAAGACTTCACTGAACCTTTATAGTTCACTTCAAACATAAATATTGAATAATCATTGGCCGTTTTTTTTTTTCTAATACAGTTGAACCACTCCATAAGAGACATGCACTGGGGAGCATTTCTCGTCTCTTGCATGAAATATGTCTTATAAGCAGGTACCATGTTCACATCTTCTAATTGATCCCTACTTAGATGCTGTCACACTGGTGCCTCATATACCTATTTGTCTCTTATGTCAGTGTCTCATATAAAGCAGTTCAGCAGAGTCAGTTTTTTGTTCATTTTTACATATTTCATAAACAAGCATGCCTAGTATATCCGCACTTAGTACGAGTTTCCAGCAACAAAAACATAGCTGATAAAAATCGGCCAGACTTTCAGAGGCTAAGACAAAATTACGTGAAATAGCGAATAGTACATAGCACCTGTTGACTTACTCGAACAGTAATTAACCGATTTAGTAGCTGAAGTAAAGGCTGTATTGACTATGCATTTGATTTTCATTCTTTTTTTAACCTGTATTGATGAATTCACAATAAGCAAACCAAGACCACTTTTACTCAAGACACATGTTGCCCCAGGGTGTCTCGCGCATTGTAAAAATGATAAATTTCAGTGCGCCACAAACTCATTACGTTTGCAGTTACTGCTCCAGCTGTTTGTACATGCATTATTCAGTGCTGTTTGTACATGCATTATTAGTATACGCGAACAGTACCATAACAGCAAGAATGAATCGCATAATGTGGTGCATGACACTAGTTTTTTTACATGGCACGAAGTACACTACTGAAACTATAGGAAGCATTAAACTGTTCTAGAAAAATTGTGTAACAGTCCAGCCTGTACAAGTCTAACATGTGCCTGAATTTCAGAATTTGAATATTTACTTTTCCTTCTCAAACTTACCTTCCTTAAACTGATAAATAGAGTGGTGCCATGGTGTATGAAAATTCATATTGCACACATTAATGTTCAGGTGTGCATATTGAGGAACATTTCTGTTCAAAACAAGTAATCTCAGGCAAAACCATATTTACTCGTGTAATGAAATGCACTTTTTTTCAAGAAAAATCGGAGATAAGTTGGGGGTGCGTTCATATGCAGGGCATATTTTATGACAACTTTTTCGGGATGAGCAAAAATGCAGTAACGCAAAAATAAAGGTTAGGTCGCTTAGCTTTTCTCAATCGACATACCTGTAGGCTGTTTGGAAACAGCTTCTTTGTTGCACTTCACTCAGCTTCATTGGTTGATGGCGCTATCTACTGCAAGCCGTCTCTGCGCTGCCCGCACACTCCATAAAAGCGTTTTGTGGCTTCCTTTTCTCGCAATCGTTTAACCACAACAGTGTTATTTTCTGTGGTGTCGAGGGGCACCCAAAAGCATATGCTATGACGCTACGATGCACTTTGCCAACTTCGTGGCAACCTTGCAAGACGACTGCAATGACGCAGTTGACACTGCACCAAGCTACCATCGAAGCATCCAAAACAAACAGCCGATAACAAGATTAACGACCCATACGCGGCTGCCATCTCACTGAAAGGTAGCTTATATCTTGCATTCTTTGAAGTACACAGTGATTACAAGCCAGAGAGCAAATTGCAACCGAAGCGAGAATCGGGGGGTGCTACCATGTTGCGAAAATCGTCACGATTTTTTTCTAGTTTTTCAGAAACCTGCGACGCAATGGTAGTGAATAGACCTTTGAGATAGCCATGGGGAGAGCAAAGCCTGTCGTCGTCGCTTGAAAATCACGGGCATGTGGGTGGGCCCTAAAGTTTCTTATTTGCAGGAAGCGACAGTCAATTGGCACGGGCAGTTTTGCGACCTTCGTTCTTATCAGCTGTGATGTCTCTACACATGCACCGTTCGTGAACCTTGTTGTGGCGCACAGATAACAAAAAAAGCCAGAGGATGTGCCGCGCACAGATAGAAGGAAGAATTTACGTAAAGCGGGCGAAGGGAGCGAGCCTGGGTGGCTGAAGGGGGTTGGCATAATAATAAAAAACGATAAACATCCAACGGGCAAGGAGGCACCAGGTGTCGGTTAGCGGGACTGAAGTAGACAAATGCAGGGGGTGCGTTTATTATGTGGGAGAAAAAAAATTCAAATTTTGACAACTGAAGTTGGAGGTGCGTTTATTATGCAAGTGCGTTCATTAGGCAAGTAAATACAGCAATTGTGCCAAGGGAAAAGCAAATGTTGCACAAACCTAATGACAGCCCGGTGGATGTTGTGCTAGTCTGACCGAAAGGGGCTGTGGCCGATGTCGAAGTGGCAAAAGGTGTAGTACCGAACGGTGTTGCTGTGGTAGTTGCCGGAGCCGCAGTACTCGCTGATGCAGGCGTGACTGCTGGGGCAGCAGATGCTGCCGTCGTGGTTGCACCGAACCCGGCAAATGAGGGTATCGTCGGAGCAGTTGTGGTTGCTGCCGCCTGCGTTGTGGCTGGAGTACCACCGCCAAATATTGGCGCGGCTGGTGCGGGAGCAGAAGTTGCAGTGGGCGCTGATGCTGCCGTGCCTCCGCCAAACATTGATGGCAGCGAAGGTGCCGCAGAGGTTGTAGCAGGCGTGGTAGTTGCACCAATGCTACCAAATACCGTTGCTGCTGTAGGCGCTGAGGTTACGGTAGGTGCTGCTGCTGCACTTGTAGCAGTCACGAAAGATGAACCAAGGGTCGGGGCCGCTGCAGTAGACGCTGCAAATACAGAAACATAGTTGGTAACAAAGCTGTCATGAGCACACTTCCAGCAAAAGGTGTAGTAGTCAAATGTTGCCGGGAGTAGCAATGTAACCTTGTTACAATTAGTTACTCCCGACCAAGTGAAATGGCAATTTTTCGGTTGCTGAAAGAACAACTTAAATGTCAACAACAATGTATATTATCCGAATTTAGATTAATAATACGTAGAAACATATCACCACTATCCAAGAGAAATTATATGAATCAGTATTGTCCACCATTGCTTGTCTAGTTTTCATTAACAAAATATCATTATTTGTTATGCAATCACATGTGCTTTAATTACTGTCTAGAAAAGTAATGCAGCATTGCCATGTGGGAAAGTGATGCAATAAAAGTTTCAAGCAACTCTGCTGAAAAAGAGTACATGAAATAAAATCGACGAAACATCTTCATTGTAAATAAAAAAAACAGCGAGAAAGGCTACATGTCGAGTGGTCCCAGCCGTTTAAAATGAGAAGCTAACCAAGATCATTATTATGATGGGTGCGAATTGTGTATAGTTCTTTCGTAATATTTTCAGCTTCTTGAAAACTTTTATTGGAAGCATGCGAGTGTCTGCATGCCTTGCCACATTGAAATTTGGTTCAAAAATTTTTTATTTCCTATGAAATGAAAAGATATGAATATAAATCATGCTTTGTTTTGATTCACTTCAGAAGCATGTATATAACAACCATTCTTACCGGTCTTTGACACATATTAATCTATTTTAACTACAGTTCTCAAATCCACTCAGAACCAGACTGTTAGATTTATTTACTTTTTTTATATGAACTGTACCACCTCTATACTAGAAATCAAATCCACAATGCAAGACATTTGCTAGACACTTCCACATTTCTCATCTTTGCCTCCCTGTCACAGTTTTCTTTCCATTCCATTCCATGTAATGGCTAGCTGGCACTACCACAGCATCATGTTTACTGTGGTTTATCTGAACTCTGTGCTTCTGCCACCAGCACATACTACTAAGTTCCGGGCATCGGTTTTCATCTGAACTCCACAAGACCGGAGTGGCTTTCTCAAACAAGCTTTGCACGTCATATACAGTCAAATCTCGTTACAGCAAACCTCACTATAACGATTTTCTCGAAAACCCCCTCTCCAAATGTCTATTGATTTAATGTAAAATATTTCACTACTATGACTTTCAGAATAGCGAATGTTTCAGAATAACACATCGAACTTTATCTCCCTATTATCTCCACAACACTTCAAAATAATGAGTAGCAATTCGAAAAAGTTACTCGCGGCCGTAAAATAATGCCCAGCTGCGTAGGTGCCACTCTAATCATCATTAACGATGACGCTTAGCATCATTAACGATGACGCTTTAGGCACGTTCGCTCTTTGGGAAAAATTTGTTGAGACGTGCCAATACTGTATTAACAACTTTATCCCTAGCAAACCCAAACGAACGCATAAACGTACGCAATGGATGACGCATGAAATTGTTAAACTAAAAAGAAAAGTTAAACGGCTAAGGAAGCAGCATGCGCAACGCGCAGTTATCAAGGAGCACCAAAGAATCCTTGCTGAAAAAATGCATCGCTCAAAAGAATACTACTTTAAAACCTTAATGCCCGACTTTATAAAGAATGATCCTTCCAAGTTCTGGAATTATCTTAAAGATAGGAAGAAACCAATTTCAAAGATTGTACTTGACAGCCGCATAGTTACAAATCCTGGCGACATTGCAAATCATTTCAACACATACTTTCATAGCGTGTTTAATGTTTCCGGAGCATCTACGTTTTCTGTAGCGTCATCTCAACCATACGAGGTCAATTTCACTTCATATGCTGGTTTGGTTTCCATGCTTGTAAACCTAAATACGAAAAAAAGAGTTGCGGTCCTGACGAACTGCCCAATGTCTTTCTCCGACGTTATGCCGAATGCGTTGGCAAATTCCTCTTTATAATCTTCCATGCTTCCCTGTCAACAGCAACTTTGCCGCGTGACTGGAAAATGGCCCGAGTGGCGCCTATCTTCAAAAAAGGCGACAGATTATCAGTACCTAATTACAGGCCAATATCGCTAACTTCCTCATGCTGTAAACTAATAGAACACATTATAGCGAACCAGATTACAGAATTTCTTGAAACACACTCTATACTAACACATTTCCAGCACGGGTTTAGAAAAAAGTATTCGACCGTGACGCAGCTTGTTACCGTTACGCATGCATTTGCCAGCGCCCTCGATGACAACATTCAGATAGACACCATTTTTCTAGACTTTTGTAAGGCCTTCGATAAAGTTCCTCATGAGAAATTAATCTACAAATTAAATAAAATAGGTCTTCCGAAGGTATTGGTCGCATGGGTAGCTGAATACCTGAATAATCAAGTGCAGTACGTCGCCATCGAGGGTCAAAATTCGAGTCTTTTGCCAGTCACGTCGGGTGTGCCCCAAGGCAGTGTATTGGGGCCCTTGCTATTCTTGTGTTACATAAATGATATTGTAGATGTAATTGAGCCAACCGTCCAGATTCGTTTGTTCGCAGACGACTGCGTTTTATTTCGTGAAATTCATAACAAACATGATCAAATAGAGCTACACAAAAATCTAGACTACATATACAAATGGTGCAACAAATGGGGTATGATTGTAAATACAGAAAAAACAGTTTCCATGTGTATAACTCGAAAAAATATCCCCTTTACTATGCTTACTCCCTTGGTTCATCTACACTTAAACAGGTCAATAACTACAAATATCTAGGTGTTACGTTCACTACTAACCTGTCTTGGAATTCACACATTGAAAACATTTGTGCATCTGCTTTCAGAAAATTATGCTTCCTGAGACACAAGCTCCGCAATTCACCACCAAGTGTAAAACTTCTGTGTTATCAATCCTACATTCGACCAAAATTGGAGTACGCATGCGTAGTGTGGGATTCCTACACCAAATGTAACATAGACAAATTGGAAAGAATTCAGAGAAAAGCAGTTCGCTTTATATATTCTAAATTTCGTCACACGGATTCTCCATCTGAACTAATGTCAGCTAACAACATTCCACTACTTCAGTCTAGAAGAAAGCAACTGCGCTTAGACTTCCTGAGTTCCTTGCTTAACCATAGAGTTGCGATTGACCCTTCATTGTATTTAACCCCTTTGTCAACCAGATATACACGACATCACCAACCAAACTCTTTTACACCATATTTTGCTAGAACAGATACATATAAATTTTCCTTTTTTCCGCGAACAGTGTCTGAGTGGAACACCTTGTCTGAGTGTGACCGCCTTGCATAGTATGTATGTTTGTCTCATAGTGTATATTTGTTGATGTAGCACTGTATATATTTCCTCATCTTACTCACTTTGTTAGTTATTACGTTCGTGATCAATCTTAGTTCTCTGTTTTTGTGATTCCTGATTGCCCGTCCTGCTTGGACCACGTTTTGTAGTCTGCAGTATGAATAAATAAATAAATTAGAACTCCCACATATTTCTCTATCTGCCTGCCCTATTCAAATGTGTCATAGCTCCATAATCATCGCCTGCTACTTGTTTTCTACGTTGGACTTCACCCCATTGCCATTGTTTCCGTCGGGAAGCTTGGCGCGCGTGCTTGTTACACGACTGTTGTCTAGCCTTTTTGCTGGTGGCTGAACGTTCAAGATGAGCTCCGAAAGCAGCGCGAAAGGAATGCTACGACAGTGAAAAACGTGACGCGAGAGACCTGCGGGATGAAGTCGTCAATGATTACCCATGCATGCTTCACTAACTCTCGGACACTACATACGGTGCGCACTTAAGCTTAGCAGATGACCGATAAGACCCATATCATTCGTGGTGATAAGAAAACGGTGACGAGAGCTAAAACGACGTTAAACAGCGCGCGTGAACCGACGTGAAGAATCGGTATTTAATGCCGATGCTTCGTAGTGCGTAAGAAGGATGCGCACGCTTAAGAGTTCTGTCTTTCAGCAGTCAAGCTGCCCACATCAGCATATACCGCACTCTTCCTCAAACAAATGTGCACTGGTTCTTTAATATTTGGTGTTTGTTTTTTCACGCTTATTCGAGCATAACACGGTTGCCAATATATATACAGCACAGATAGGTGACTCGCCTGTTTGCGTTAACGATTTTTGCATAAATTTTTTAATACTTTCAGACTTTTTATAATAATGAATTATTTTTAGTGGTCCCTTCACATTCATTATATCGAGATTTCACTACATATCATAAACTTTAGGCCTGCCATTGAGTCTTGCGATCGATTACATCATCATCAGTCTTGCCATTTGTATGCCCAATCATCCCAGCAGATAAATTAAAAAATAAATAATGCCCATACCTGATGGTGTAGCGGCAGCTGGTGCTGTGGCTGCTCCAAAAGCCCCAAAAGCTGAGGTGGCAGTGGTGGTAGCTTGGGATGGCATGCCGAAAGTGGGAGTGCTGGCGGACGACGCAGGTGCAGCTGCAGGCATTCCAAAGTTAAATGCAGGAGCTGGAGTTGGAGCAGGAGCAGCAGAAGAAGCAGTAGCAGCTGCAGTAGCAGCAGTAGGAGCTGCACCTGTTGCAGATGGTGCTGCTGCCATTTGAGGTGCAGTACCAAACCCACCAAATAATGAAGGGGTGGCAGCGCTGGTAGCAACAGGTGCAGCAGCTGTGGCAGTGCTTGTGGCAGGAGGTGCTCCTCCAAAGGTGGGCAAAGATGCAGGAGTCGACGTCTGAGTTGGCATGGCTCCAAAGCCACTAAGCATGCCCGTCGAGGTTGCCGGGGTTGTGGCACCTCCGCTGCCAAAGCTACCAAAGGCAGGTTGGCCAGCTGTTGAGGCTGGCACTGTGCCGAAGCCGCCGAAGCTGGGCGTGGGTGCGGAAGTTGCAGCGGTGGACCCAAAAGCTACACCGAACCCCGTTGGTGCTGCACTACTTGCAGGTGCAGTTGTGCCTGCGCTACCAAAACCAGTCGGAGCAGCCGCTGTTGTGGCTGGCATTGCGATGCTACCGAAGCCAGTTGATGAAGCAGGAGTGGCAGGGGTCATTCCGAATGAAAAGCCTCCGATTGGGGTAGAAGTAGCTGGAGCCGACACGGAAGTGGTTGTTGTTCCAAAGCTTCCAAATGCTGTGGGTGTTTGGCTTGCAGCTCCAAATGCACTACCGAAGGCTGGTGTAGCAGGGGTCACTGAGGCGGTGGGTGTGAACCCGGCAAATCCCGCTGGAGCAGACGTGGTAGCGGGAGCAGTTGACTGTGTGGCACCAAATGCCAAGCCTGCTGCAGTACAGGGTCGTGCAAAACAATCATTAGCACTACATTTCTTTGCTAGCCGCTAGCAAGAACTTGCTGAACCAAAGCACCAATAAAGTAGTAGCAACGGCAGACTACTATGCAGTAGTGAACTCATGCATGTACATACAGCTAAAATCTTTCAGGAAAAAAAATCACGAGATCATGGATGAATCAGCTGCTTTTCCCTTTCATTAACCATAAATGGGGCAATATAAATGGCTGGTTCATCTTTATTTATTTAAGCAGATGGCGACCTAAAGTAATGAACAAAAATCCAAGATGACACACATGTTTGCAGAATAAAGTGCTTTGCCCTATAAACCAGCACATTCCCAGAAAGATCAACAACTGCTCCTAAACAGATGCTGTGCAAAACACTAGAAAAATGGTAGATGGAGTTGCAGATTCTCTCCTATTTAATCTTTTTTCAAAATATCTCAATGCATGCCAAATGAAGCAGGTCAATGCAGCAATGTTAATGCTGTAGACTGTCGCCCCATTTAAAAAGGAACATGCAAGTGAGCGGCCTGCGTTCAGCAGCAGCTGCCTACAGCATTATCAACTGACAGCTTAGGAAATCCTGTATGCTTTTCACATCGCCTACTGGCCAACAGTGTAACCAGTCATGGCCGTTGGACAAGCAATGCTAGATTGCGCTCCTGGTCCGGTCTTGCAACGAGCGATGCCGCCACCCCCCCAAATGCGGACATGCTTTCTTTAGCTGTCAGTAGATGGTACTGCAAGCAGCTGCAGCAGAGCACAGGACATGCACTCTTGTGTTCCCTTCCATGAAAGATGACAGTGTACAAGATCATAACATCTTTGCCTTATTTTTAAGTTCAGCTTTAAAGCTCAAGAGCACGATACTCTACCCTAAAGGGGGAAAGAGCTCAAGAGCTACAAATGAAGTGTGGTTTGTTAGGTCTTACTTGTCTGTGGTCTCACTGCAGTACTCCCAATGTTGAAAGGCTGGGCAACACCTGTGAATGGAAGCAACAGTTATGCATATATTTATAGCCTGTCAGCGGAGCAGATTTCAAATCTTGTAGGGTCACAAAACAGAAGCACACAGAGTACAGAATTATAATATGACAATAAGACAGACTGAAACTGTCCCAACGGCAGTCATACACAAAATACTAATCAACTGATAAATCTGAATGTAGCTAAACATAAGTGTACAGAAACAGACAAACATGCAGATATACAAACACTCAAATAGGATTATAGTGGCAGTAGTATACTTTATTCTAGTCTAGCTGATTTTTACAAAAGTATAGAAACCAAAGTAAAAAGTGTTTAATGTGCCTGACAAAGGCTTTTGCACCTATAATAAAAACACATATATAATAGATATATTATACACAAATATATATATATTATGATATCATAGCACCTACCCACTGGTGCTGCAGTAGTAGCGGTAGGTGCACCAAAGGAGAATGGTTGGGCAGCTGCTTTCGACAAAAAAAAAACATTGGATTTAAGTACATTTTGTCAAAAAAACAGCATAAACATGTGTACAATACAGTTGTAAAACGTGTCAGTGCTGTAACATTTGACAAAAATGAGCAATTTCTCAATCATCTTCCTCGCAGAGCATATAACAGAGCAGTTGCTGGTGGGTTCTGACATGGTTTCCAGCCAAATGACAGCCCATGTTGACGATACACAAACATAGGGAAGATGAAAACTTACAGACACGGGGATGTTGACAAATTTTGCTATTCAATATGAATAGTCACCAACTTGAGTAACTTTCAGTGTTACTGCAATTCATTGTGCAGCATTCAATATCATCTAAATGGTAAAATTAGTGCCAATCTGGCTTTTAGAGTCTCTGTACTGCTTATGAGCCTCCGGAAGTAAAACAATGAATGAATTCTGATTTGTAAAACGATGAGTCACAGTACCAACAGGAGCAAAAGACAAACTCACTTGTTGCTGCAGCCGTCTGAGTAGGTGCCCCAAATGAAAATTGCTGCGGCTGTGTGGGAGCTGCACAGAAATGGTGCCCACATTAAAGAAATATAACAATCTTAAGACAGAAGCAAGTCATAAGGGAGTGCATTCATGTGCTCACCTGCTTGTGGTGCTGCGCCACCAAAGGAGTAAGTCTGGCTCATCCCTTCAATGGAGATTAAGAAAATATATAAACTTCACATTTAGCTTTACATGCAATCACATTCACCATAATGAAAGACAAATTATGTCGAAAGCTATTTTCCCAGTCAAAACACTCAGCCAGTGGATGCATTGATTCTTCAATAAGGCCATAAAACTACGATGGCGATAAAGGTAATTTTGGGCTAAGCTATCAAAACAATGTAAAAGGCCGCCCAAGATGACAGAGTCTGCTGGCAAATTACTAACAGCGATACTTATATGGGAATAAGTATTAAAGAAAAATTGATTAGGAGTTCAAAGAAAATTTAAAATTGGGTTTCATTTCATCACCTCAATGCAGTAGCAGGTGGTACCGTGATGCAAAGCATGCGGTAAATATTCATCATTTTCAACTCATGCCAAAAAAACCAATAATCTTAACTGGTTAATTTCAGAAACATCCCTTTCAGGGGGATATCCTTGGGGAATTGCTTTCAGACATACTTCTGCTTTACCATATCACAGGATAAGTAGCCACAAAAGAAAAACGCACAGTGTGCTTACAAATGCAACAGAAACCATAGGCACAGTGTTCAGTTATGCAATGAGGTAGCGTTCTGTTGCTTCCCTTTTGAGATGGAACACTACGAGTTATCTTTCTACTAATGAGTTCATATTCCAATCACTAAGCAGGCAACTTAATATATATTTTTTTTACACACTGCAAATTTTTCTTTTCATCCTTCTAGTCTTTACTGCATTGCAACTTCCATCTTTTTTTTTTCTGCTGTGTAGCAGTGCACGGCACTTAATATGATTATACATAAATAAAGTTAAAACTTCTCGTGTGAAAGGAGCATTTACATATTACTTGCACAATGACACTGCCTCTTCAGCTGAAACCTGAGCCTGCCCTGTCATTAAGTTCTGTTTGCCACAAACAAAAAGAAAATGATAGTATCAACAAAAGAGATATTGTGGTTCAGATTTTTCTTTGATGACATGCATGTAGTGCATCATTGTACTTCAGCACATAATATGGCATATGCATGCTGCATTTTTTTACCTGTTGGCGCCACTGTAGCTGTTGGGGATCCAAATGTGAATTGTTGGGCACCTGAACATGAAAGCGGGAAGGAACAGAACAAAAATCTATCAGATTCAGGATGCATTTTAAGCAGTAAAGTGAAGGAAAGCTAAACTTGACACACGAATTACCTGTGCTAGTTGCAACAGCTGGACTTCCGAATGTTGGCTGAACTGCTGCAGCAGGTGACTGAACACTGCACATGAGAAAAAAAAGCACAAAGCATAATCTCGAAGAAACCAACCTAATATAAAATAAATTTACGTCGGCACTGTTACAATAGTTTGTTTTTTTCGGCCCATTAACGTGTAGCTATCTAACTTACCACCTAATTCAAATGTGTGTCAACAACCCAGTGCAGTTAAAGCATGTTTCAGAACCATTAGGGTTTTTCTTTTGTATATATGCAATCTTCCGTAGTAATCTTTATTACTACTCCATGATAGAGTACCTAAACGCGAACTTCCCCTAAGTTCTTGAAACTAAGTTTCTTTCACTAAGTTTTTTTTACCTGGTTTGGAAGCAGATTTGACATAGCAAGTCGCTAATACTGATACCCACAAGCTTGCATTTTTTGCGTCGTTCTCTTCACGTTACTGTTGCACACTAGCGTACACTACGAGTATTTAACGCTCAAGGAATAGTGCAAGACAGCTATAGAGGGAAGAGAAGAACGCTGAAAACCGACAGCGTTGTGCTTAAGTTTCTTAAGAGGGACTGTCCCCATCATCGCTGTGATGGCATCGCGCAGAGAGAGAGAGCACATATTTTTAAAACGTAGCATGGCGCCAGAGCCGAAAGATATTTATCGCTTGCTAAGCGGCTGTGAACGCGCGCAAATGTAACTAAATTCTTGTGCGTTTAAGAAATCTGAGAACTTGCCTCGGCCTAAATGCGAAAGGAGACGCCTGTGTTGTCTGCGGCGAGCCGAAAGGAAAACCCCCAGATGGGTTCATGTTGTGGCCTTTAGGTGACCTACTGGTGCGGTGCAAACAATTTTGTCACGTTTGATGTTTACACGGAGCTCAATTTTGTTGCACTTATTCTGCGCTTACTGCGCCGAACAACCGAACACGGCCGCCATTTCTGACGAGTCGTTCTTAGTGACTTGCTGCGGACAGCGTCAACAGTGTTTTGGGGAACTTTATTCGTTGGTAACCCAGTTCTGACTAATCTTGTTTAAAAGGCGGCATTGTAATTTTCCTACAGCTGTCTTTTATTTACTCCGTACTGGCTTACTTTGAAGAAACTGACATTGCAACAGTTTTGACATGGTTTTGACCAACGTTTGTTTTGGCAGTCTAATCTGCAGCTGCAGCGTCATCGCAATCACGGAACAGTGAAACCCACGTGGTGAAACCAATGCGGGTAATGCCTCCTCTAAATGATGCCTGAGGAATGGCTCGCGCTCCCAGCGAAGTTGGCCTGCCTTCAGTTTTAAACAAGCTCCGCGTAGTGGCGCTCGCGACCAACATAATCATTCTTGTTCGACAAATTCAAGGTCGTGCAAGGTTGTGCAAGGTCGGTTGGTGCAGAAGCAGCGCGCAACGAGAGATACGTTTCTCTTCATTTTCTTGTGTTTGTGAACACCATCATTATTTTTTCGCTCCTAATTAATAATTAGCGTTGCGAGTACTGTAGGTGTGGGACACGGGCAACGTTGTAGTGACTTTGACCACGTGAACGGGCTAGGCGGCTGTTTTGAAGAAGGTCGGAGCGCCCGGTTATTTGTTGAAGAGCTAGAGCCGAACACGAAGGGGACCTAGTGAGAGGCTACTAGCGAAATCGAACATGTATGTGTGCGGTGTAGGCGACGCTTCAAACAGTTGTTGAGGTAGGAGAGTTAACGGAAGCGGCTGGATAGCGGGATTAGGGTTGAACGTAGGTCTGTCGGGCACTCGGTCCGATGGTCGGGCGGGCGATGGCTAAGGAGGCTAGAAAAACTACGAGCGAGAGTGAGCTGGTGCAGTGCGAAGAATGCAAGCGCTGGTGCTACTTAGATGAGACATCATTCACGAGTTTAGCCGACGCGCAGAAGGCGAGCTTCGTGTGCAGGCTGTGCGAGGCACTGAAGGCGGCCGCGCGAGGCACTGAAGGCGGCCGTGCAGCGCATGGAGGCTAGCATCAAGGGGCTTCAGGGGGAGCTAAGGGCGGAACGGGAGCAGAGGATAGAACTCCAAAAAGAGCTCGGAGTGTCGTGTGAGCGGGAGGAGGCTACCACCAGCCTATTAGAGCAAAAGAAGGGCGACCTTCGAAGAGCGGGAAGGGCGGACCGAGCTAGAGCAGCGGGTAAAGGAACTAATGGCGCTTTGCCCCGGCCCCGAGCGGTGTGAGATGGAAGGCGTGGGAAGCGGAGAAGGTGACAGGTGGGAAGGAACAGGCGAGAAGGGAGGTCAGGGGGCCGCAGTGTCTGGCCACAGCACGGAGGCTCCGAGAACATACAACTCGGTGGCGCAGCAGTCTTCAAGCTGGGCAGAAACACAGGACAGACGGCAGAGAGAGAAACAGGTGAAGCAAACAGGGGCGCCATCACAAACAGGAAGCCAGCGATTGGAGCGTAGAAGGGTCTCAGTGGTGGGGGACTCTAACGTGGTCAGGGTTAGGGATGGCGTCTTCAAGACAGTGAAGGAAGATGGGAGAGTCGGGGAAGAGCATGGTGAATGCACTGGCCAAAGCTCAAGAGGTTGTAGAAAACAGCATGGAGGGCGAAAATCTAGTCATTATTCATGCTGGGCTCAATGATGTGTTGAAGGGCAAGGATCAGAACCTTCAGAGAAAGCTAGAGGATGGGATGCGTAAGCTCCGAAAAGCCTCTGGGAGTGTGCATGTGACCATATGCACAGTCCCAGAGGTCTGGGGGCAGCCTCGTGGGATAGAAAGGAGGGTAGTGGAGGCCAGTTGTGTGATCAAGGCTTTGAGCCGGCAACTCGGATACAGCGTAATGGAAGTTAACCAAGACGTGTACGAGCCCGGCGCTCGCCCCTTTGCACAGGATGGCATTCACTACAGTGGTGCGACGGGCAGAAGGGTCGGTAGCATAATGGGTCGCCAAGCCATAGCTTTTTTAGGGGGACCCAGAGCCCTGAGGCCAGCAGTGTAGCCAAAGACGGACCTAATGGGGCACAAATATTCAAGCCACACGATGTCCGCGAGAAAAGAAATTGACGTAAGCACAAGGGCCGAGCTAAGTCAGACAAACTATATTAACATGCAGGGTGGCAGGAATAGGTTAAAATGGGAAGAGATAGACGAGCAGTTGAGGCAGGAGGAGCTGATGGTATATGGGGTTGTGGAGACACATCTTCGGGACCTGGAGCAACCACCCTGCAATCCAGAATACGTATGGGAATATTACAATAGAACAGAAGGCAGCAAAAAGGGGGTGAAATCGGTGCATTTATACATAAGAGCATGGGTTGGCAGAGTCAAGCAGGGATGCAAGGAACATTTATGGCTAAAAGGGAAAGTGACAGGGCAAATGACTCTCCTTGGTTTCGTGTACTGTGGACGGGAGCAAAGACCAGAGAGGAAAACCAGGCAATGGTAGAGTGTATATCAAATGACATTCAGGAATTAGGAGGAGAGTGCGAGATAATTATACTAGGAGATATGAATGCACACATAGAAGATATAGATGGGTATACTGACTCAACAGGCAAAATGATCATGGATTTGTGTGAAAGGCATGATTTAATCATTTGCAACAGTACCGAGAAGTGTGAAGGGCAAATAACATGGGAGGTAGGAAGGCTGCAGTCAACGATAGATTACGCACTGATGTCGCATAAAATGTATGATAAGCTCAGGGGAATGCACATAGATGAAGGTGGCTCCAGAAGTCTGGGTAGTGATCACAAACGTATCGATCTAAGTTTTGGAAGAGCAGTGAAAGTGGGAAGGAGACAAGATCAGCAACTAGAGGAAAATTTTCATTCAGAAAGGCAAATAGAAATTGCTACTAAACAAACAAAAGGAAAAATCGGCAGTCATGATTTTTAATGATAATGAAGGTAGCGAGCTTAGAATACAGAAGGTCACGCTAGAGATAACAGATCAATACAAATATCTGGGCGTATGGATAAGCAAAGGGATTGAGTACCTAAGGGAACACGAAATATACGTGACAACTAAAGGTAACAGGAATGCAGCAGTGATGAAAAATAGGGCACTGTGGAATTACAATAGGTATGATGTTGTGAGAGGAGTATGGAAAGGGGTCATGGTTCCTGGGCTGACGTTCGGCAATGCGGTCTTGTGCATCAGGTCAGAAGTTCAAGCAAGATTAGAAATTAAGCAACGTGGAATAGGTAGGCTTGCTTTAGGAGCTCACGGGAATACACCAAATCAGGGAGTACAAGGTCATATGGGATGGACATCATTTGAGGGCAGGGAAGCTAGCAGCAAGATAAAATTTGAGAAGCGATTGAGAGAAATGGGGGAGGAGCGTTGGGCCAGGAAGGTTTTCAGCTACTTGTACATGAAGAATGTCGATACAAAATGGAGGAAGCGAACCAGGAATTTGACGGGTAAATACTTAAAAAACAGCAGGTGGCCAAACCAAAAAGAACTATCGGTTAAGAAGAAAGTGAAGGAAACGGAGACTGACATGTGAAGAATTGGCATGATTAAGAAGTCCGCACTAGAGATCTATCGAACTTTTAAGCAGGAAATTGCCAAAGAAAGGATCTATGATCATACTCGGGGTTGTTCTCTACTGTTTGAGGCCAGGACGGGAGTATTGCGAACCAATACATATCGGGCCAAATACGAAGGGGTAGACACAGTATGCAGTGCGTGTGGAGAGGAAGAAGAAACTGCCAAACACTTGATAAAGTTCTGTAAAGGGCTTCACCCTATAGTTCAGGATGATGGCGCAGAGTTTTTCAAAGCACTGGGGTTTAGGGACAGGGAGGGCAAAATAGACTTTAAGCGGGTAGACTTAACTAGAAGGAGGTTATCTGATTGGTGGCTAAAGTCAAGGCACGAGTGAAAATTAAACCCTTCATTGCAAAGTACCTGTCCAACTTCACTATTTAAAGGAAAAAAAAAGATAAATCTAGTGGTTAGTTTACTAAGTATTACGGCTTGGTGGCGTTAGCCGCAGCCCGATCTAAAGGGTACAGCCACATACATTCATCCATCCATCGTCACGGCGACGGGTGGTACCAGCCATAGAGTTTCCCAATATTTTGAGAAACTCTATGGTACCAGCCAAAGTCTAGAAACGTTGGTACCAACTAAGCGTTTTTTATCTGCGGCCCATAGGGGCGCGTCAGTCGAGAGTTGTTCGAGACCTGCAACTGTGCATTAATGTTTCAAAGGCTATGCGAAGTGTTGCGTTGTTGCACCATCCGCCACAGGTGACGCTAGCGACCGAGACCATTTTGAGGGACAGAATTTAAACTCGAACTATTAAGGTAGGCTAGATGGCGCATGCCGTCACCCCGATTCAAAGGAGAGGCCTTTAATCATGATCATCATCATCATTTTCAAATTGAAGGAGAGAAAGGATGTGGCAGCTGTTTTTCTTCTCATGCGGCAGGCATCTTCCTAGAGGAGGCGTTGGTGAAACCGAAACACTTGGAAAATTTTAAATCGCAGCTGAGGTGTTCTCTGCATAGAAGGCATATTAACCCTATGGTTCTCTGGTCGTACCAGGTTCCAGCGCTGTGCCTGTGGTTGTGGTGCTGTAGTGCTGTGGTCGTATCGTGATCAAGGGTGTTCTTTTGTTGTGCTAAGTACACGCTTGTTGTGCTGCAGCGTTCGTTCATTTCCCTGCTTCTGCAATGTCTTCAGCTCAACAAGCCCTTGAAAAACTGCAGCGCGTGTTTTCTGTCAAAGAAGCCGAAATAGACAGCATAATCGCGAGGTCCGAACAGCACTTCAAACATCGAGAGGACTTGGGCTGCGACCTCGCAGATTTCGTCGACCAACTTCTCAGAGTTGACGTGTCGACGCCCAACCAGCGAGCAACAGCGTGTGAAAGCGAGCATTCGGAAACCGGCAGGCGTAGGGAAGAAATGACCGAGAAGCTTACCTGCGTAATGGCGGACGTCAAAAGCAAGTGTATAGACATGTGAATTTTCGATCTTACGACTGCGGCTCCGTAAGCCTTTACATAATCAGAGAAAAAGGCGTGATAATAAAATAAGGATGCATAAATAGAGCTAAGGGCGCCATTCCTCGGCCTGTTAAAGTGTGATTGATTGAACTTCATGGTATCTAAGAAAGTGTGTCGTGTTACCTCTGTGC